GAGAGCAAAGAGAGGACACTAGGACCAGTCATGAAGGATGAGTGTGCATCTGCCTGCAGGAGAGATGGAGGACAAGGTTTTCCAGACTAGGGGGGACTGTGTGTCAGAGGGCAGCAGTGGACAGAACAAGATGTGTTCATGGAGCAGCTGGCATGTGAAGTGAAAACCATGGCTGGATGCTAGGTGTACAGAAGATCCACAGGAAAAAGGCAAAGGACAGTACAAGATCCCAGATTCTGGAAAGCTCCAGCAGGTCTATGCAATGTCACATTCAGTGTCGTTGGGATTAGTATTCCAAAAAGGAAGCCAGGAGGTGGTGCAAGGGGTTGGGTTAGGGGCTGGGCATGGGAAGCAGCCTAGCAGGATGCCACAAACTTCCTCTTTGGAGGCCTCAGAGAAGCTGCTCCTCAGGCCCTTCTGACTGCAGCCTTAGGACCAGAGCTGCGGCTTTGGCCTGGCAGGAAGAAGATGTTCAGGAAGACTTTCCGACTTCCAGGACAACACTGAGCACCTGGGAGGCAGGAGCCTTGTTTGCTCATCAGTCTCCCTTACAGTGCCCAGCACGGAACATACACAACAGGACAACAGGGAAGCAAGGGGGTGACACTGTCCGTACCTGTCCCTAATCCTGGCACTGATTTCTGGAGCAGGTTCGGTGACCTCTATAAAGTCTGGAGGTACCCTTCATAAACCAAGGCATCAGGCCCAACCAGAGCCTGGCCATGGCTTCCCCAGGTCTAGAAAATGAGCAGGTAGGACAGAGGGAGTCTGGGAAGACATTATCTCTCTTTTTTGTTTTGGTATCAGGGAACGAACTAATGACTTCACACTTGCCAGGCAGGCTGAGCTGTACTCCTAGCTCCTTACATTGTCTCTTAGTACTTAATTTGGGGTTCTTTAGAGGAGAACTGTGTTTTCAAACTTAAGAGAATAGAAGAACCATCTAGAAAGTTTGTGTAGAAAGTACATTTCTGGCCTCTGACCCCAACAGCCTGATCCAGTAGGTCTGTGGTGAGGCCCAAGAGCTGGCATTGTGAACACCCCAATTCCTGTACACTCAAATATGAGAACCGCATACTGTATGTGACGTCATTCAGGCCTCTAGAGTTTTGGTGTCAAGCTTCCTTTTGATCACAAACCACAGAATAAAGTTTTATGCTGTGGCCCAGGACTTACTTATAAATATCTGAAATAAAACTTTCACATGACATTTGCTCTAACCCCCATCTTACGCCGGGACTTCTGCTCTACTTTACTACAAACACGGATGGTCCAGCCTTGACGCTACATGAATAAGATTTTAGATTTCAGTACCCAGGGTACATTCCTGACCAATTAAATCAGAGAGCTAGGAGTGGGGTACAGTCACTTGCAGTTTTTAAGTGATTCCAATGTGCATCTAAGGTCTAGATCAGCAGTTATCAAAAGAAGTCCCCAGGCCAGCAGCATGAACATCACCTGAGAATTTGTTACAAAGATACATGCTCTGACCCCACCCACACCTAACTGAATCAGCAACACTGGACATCTGGCCCCAGATGTTTCTATTGTTTGTTTGTTTATTTTTGAGACAGGGTCTCACTATGTATCAGGTGGGCCTTGAATTCACTATATAGTCTAGGCTGGCCTTGAACTCTTAGCAATCCTCCTGCCTCAAATATGAGCCTCCCAACTGCTGGGATAATAGAAGTACATTTCTCCTGCTTGGGTGATGTCTTTATTTTTACAAGTCTAGATGACTCTGATACAAACCTAGGTTAAACTAAACACACTGAACTGAATGGATTTCTTGACCATGACTGGGTCATAGCCTACAGTTTAACATGTTTCCACTGGGTTGTACCATCACATGTCCAGTGTAAATGTGTTACACACTGCTCAAAAGGAGGCCTCCAGTGACAGGATACATTCAACACCAGGAAAACATCTACTTTTCCTAGAGGATTGGCATCTGTCTTCTTTTGTTATTGGATTTTTTTTTTTTTTTTTTGGTCTTTTTGAGACAGGGTCTTGCTATGCAGCTCGGGCTGGTCTTGAGCTCACTTTGTAGCCCAGGCTGGTCTCGAACTCACAACTATCCTCTTGCCTCAGCCTCCCAGAGTGCTGGGATTACAGGCATGAGCTACCACGCCCGGCTCTGTCTTCTCCTTTTGATGAGAGATGTTCCCTTTTGGTATTAGCTATGGGAACCTTTCCTTAATCCTATCAATTATGTGGATCTTTTTTTTTTTCCCAATCAACTTCAGAAAGAAATTATGTGGATCTTTTTTTTTTTTTTTTGTCTTTTTCTTTTTTATTGGTACCAGGGATCAAACTCACGACAGCACACTTGCAAGGCAGGCGCTTATGCCGCTGAGCTAAATCCTCAGCCCCTAATTATGTGGATCTTTAAAGTCATTTTTAAAACTTTTTTTTAGGGATATGGTCTTGCTATATATTTCACTATGTATCCCAAGATGGCCTTGAACTCATGGCAATTCTCCTGCCTTAGCCTCCCAAGTACTGGGATTACAGGTTTGCGCCACTATACCCACTTTATTATATTTTATTTTATTTTTGTCTTTTACCTTTTTATCGGTACCGGGGATCGAACTCACGACTGCCTGCTTGCAAGGCAGGTGCTTATGCCGCTGAGCTAAACCTCCAGCCCCCTTTATTTTTTTTTTATATCCCCACTTTAAAATCTGTACTTTTTTTGGTGGAATGGGTGGAAGTATTATGGATTGAGCCCAGTATTGAGTTACATCTCCAGTCCTTCTTTACTTTTTTTTTTTTTTGGTGAGTGTTTGTGAGACAGGGCCTCACTACGCAGTTCAGGCTGGTCTTGAGCTCACTTTGTAGCCCAGGCTGGTCTTGAACTTGCAATGATCCTCCTGTTTCAGCCTCCCAACTGCTGGGGCTACAGGAATGTGACACCATGCCTGGATCCTCCTTTACTTTTTATTTTGAGACAAGATCTCACTAAATTGCTAAATTTCCCAAGTTGGGCTGAGAACTACAATTTGCAGTTCTCCTGCCTCAGCCTCCTGAGTGCTGCAATGATAGGTGTGCACCTACATAATCAGCTTCCCTTTGTGCATGTGTCTTCTTGGGAAAAGAACACAGTGGTGTCAAGGTGTGGTCACTAGACTCTGGGCTGAGCCAGGCCAGAGAAGGGGCAGGGCAAGCCATCTGAGCACTGAGTACTTCCTGTGGCTTCTCTAGCTAGCTGGTCGGTGTGCAGGGCCCCTGTCCCAGTCAGTATCACTGCTGTGGTTTCCTGTTTGCAGCTGCTGCACTGGGGCCAGGCCCCCTTCTCCCAGCCAATACGTCACAGTAGAGGTGCCAGTGCTGTCTGCTGTCTGAAAATTAGCAAGAGGGGCTGGGGAGAGGTCCAAAGGGAAGGAGAAGAGAGGCAAAATCAGACTGGATGGGGCTGGGAGAGGGTTGGGGGACTGAGATAGAGAACTCCACAGTCAGGGCAGGCACAGGAGCTTTGCCTTCTGTCCTCAGTGCCTCTTCTCTGAGCTGTTACTATGTTTAAAATTCCCCCTCAGTCCCCTGAGGTCTGTGTGGGGACCTGGAGCCAGATGAATAGTTACCAAGAGATCAGGACGGTTACATCTTGGAGAGGAAGGAATCCTTGGTTAGGGTAGGGGAATCCTGCCTCTCTATGTCCAGGTGTCCAAGTGTTGTATAGCACTGGATCCCCTCTGTAGGCCATTACTCCCACTTTTACTGTTTTTTTTCTGGTACTGGGAATTGAGTCCAGGGTCTTATACATGCTGGACGATCGTTGAGCTACACCCCCAGCCCAGTTTCCCACTTAAATGCAGATTATTATGCTACTGTTGATGGGCTCTTGTGAAAACAACATAAAAGTCAGATGCCAGACTGGCTGACTCCAAAGCCAGGTACTTTGGCCTCCCTATGTCTATCTTTAAGTCATATGGCACAAGCATGGGCAGAATAGTAAGTCTCCAACAGAGCTGTATCCCAAAGTGCATGCTATGAAATACTGGCTTCCGGTGACCTCGGAGCTCCCTGAGAAAGGTTCGCATTTACCTAATTTCCTTAAGGAGTGGAAGGCCAGTGTATACCACAGGCCTCTTTCCCTCTCTGAAGCCTCCCCACAGCCAGAACTTGAGAAGCATTTATTAAGAGAATAGATGTGGGGCTGGAGGTTTAGCTCAGCGGCATAAGCTCCTGCCTTGCAAGCAGGCAGTCGTGAGTTTGATCCCTGGTACCAATAAAAAGGAAAAAGGCCAAAAAAAAAAAAAAGAGAGAGAGAGAGAGAATAGATGTGAGGGAATATTCCTAGTATTGTAGGATGAAAAGCTGCTGTGTTCAAAAGCATTTGGAGGGCTGAGGATTTAGCTCAGTTGGCTCAAGAGCTTACCTGGTAAGTGTGAGGTCAAAGAGTTCAATCCCCCAGAATCAAAAAAAAAAAAAAAAAAAAAAAAAAAAAAAAAAAAAGGAAATGCCCAGAAGTCCTGAGTGAACACAGATTATAATTTTCAGTGTCAGAGAAATTTTACTATCAGAGGATATGATTCTCAGTGTCCCCCCAAACTGCCCATTGCTTCTCTTCTACCTCTAAGTAGGTGGCCCACAAAGCACAGTCTCTGTCCTGCTATGGTGCTAACCTACCTCTGTGAGTAACAATTCCTACTACCTTGGGAAGAAAGTACAAGCAAGCTCCCTGCCCGGTATCACAGATCTGGACTATGACCCTGCTCACCTCTCCTAACCAGTCCTGCAAGGGCAGCTCACCCCTCACCCAGACAACTGTGCTGCTGTAGGAACACTCCTGTAGGAAGCTGCCTTTGATTATCCTAGTTAGCTGCCTTGTTCTTACCATCAAGGCCTGTCTTCACCACCACCCCCCTGCCTGGGCCCCCCAGGACCCCATGGAAATCTGGGCTTACTGAGAGATAAGGAGTAAGGGACATCTTGCTCTCGCTGGGTCCTCTGCTGAGGCCACCCTGACAGGAAGGCCTGGGCTGGCCGGGCTCACCCACCTCTCCTGCTCTGGCTCTCCCGGACGAGGAAGGCCCCTCCAGGGTTTCCGGGCAGCAATAGCAGTTCCTCAGCTTTCTCCCGGCTCAGGCCCTCATACAGCCACCTAGGGGAGCAATGCAAAGGGACAGGGTCAGCCTGGAGGCAAGGTGGGACTTTATTAGGATCTGGCTCCTGCTATCTGTGGCCTTCCCTCCCTTGCAGTCTATACCCTGATCCCTTGGCCTTGGGGCTCTAGGAACCCAGGAAGATGACCTCATGGGGTCAGCCTCAGTTTTTTTGCTGAGACCTCATTCCCAAGGGGCCTTTAGAGTGATCCCAGTACTGCTATCTCCCCAGTATCTCTGTCCATCCACCTTCTCAAGCTTTCACCTCTCATGTTTTCTTCCCTAAAGATACTACACAGACTGTGCCTGTCTCCTGCATGTCCCTCCTAAAGTTCTTCACTAGATCCGGGCCACCCTCCAAACTCAGACCAGGACATCTCCTTTGTGGGGCCTTTGTAAACACCTTCTGTGGGGGACAATCTGCACTAGAATTGATTGTCATCTGTGTCTCTGAAGGGCAGGGCCAAGCCTGATTCTCCTTATTCCCCAGCTTTTCTCAGTACTGGTCAAAGTATAATGGAGAATGCTTGTGGGAAGAACAAACAGGAAGGTGCACAAGGCAGGCCTGGGGGGCACTCACCCGTGGAAGATTTTGGCCACATGCACGCTAGGGACTCTGTACTCTCTGCCTGAGACTTGTGACAGCACCGTCCACCAGTCTCCATCCCTGGAGAGAAGAAGCAGAAAGGCACCTCTGTCAGAAGAGTCAAGGCCCTGGGAACTGTGCCCTTGGAGTTCACAAGGATTCCCTCAGGCTGGAATTGGCAATCACCTGTTTCCCAGGCCTCCTTGCTCCAGCCATTCCTCCTGGCCAGGGAGTGCAGATGGCCTAATCTCACTTCCTCTCCCTGTAGCTGTGCTGAGCTGCCTGAAACCCACCACGGGGCCACAGTCCTGTGTGTACTTCAGCAAACACCTTGTGCTTTTCTGCTGAGACCCCTTTCCCATTAGTGCATCTTCAGATGCCGGCACTTACTCAGAGATGATGGTCAATGGTTCTCCCAGTCTCAGAGACAGCTCAGTGTGGCCGCCTGCAGGGAAACCGCCCAGGGCCACAGCTGTGGCCTTGCACCTCTCTAGATGAAGGGACAGAGATAGTCACCTTTGTGGCCAGCCTTTGCTCCAGAGATGAAGTCTAGTGCAGTCTGCCTCCCCTCACTCCCCTTCCCATGGGGATCCCAGAGGGAGATCATCCTGGCACTGGAAGCTCTTCCGGCAGGCTCTACAGAGCCTAGGGCAACCAGAAAGCTTGTGGGGTTCCTGTGGAGGCCTCAAGTTCATGTGGCAAGAGGAATGGAAGTTTTACTGAGGTCACTTTCCAATAATGGTGGACCAAAGGGTCCTGGAAGGGCTCCTTCCCCTCCTGAAAGTCCTAACTGTGACCCTATTTATTTATTTTTGAACCGGGGGTCAAACTGAGAACCTTGCACTTGCCAGACAGGAGCTTATGCTGTTGAGCTTTATCCCTGGATGTGACTCCTTTTTATGTACAACTTTTCACAGTTTGATTTTTCTTGGCGGGGGGTAGTGTTTTCACTTTTTGAGACAGGATCTCACTTTGTAATCCAGGCTGCCTTGGCTGCCTTTGACCTCACTTATATACCTCAGGCTAGCCTCAAACTCACAGTGATCCTCCTGTGTCAGCCTTCCAAGTGCTGGCATTACAGGTGTGTGTCACCATGCCTGGCCTTCACAGAGACTTTGAGGAAAGGATTCTGCTGCATGGAGACTCAAAACCTATAGGTCTGGGGCTTCAGCTCAGTGGTAGAGGGTTATCCTAGCATTTGGGAGGCTCTGAGTTCCATCTTTAACAACATAGAATAAAAACAAAAACAAAAACAAAACTATGGCTCTGAGCAGGGTTCAGTTTGGACCTGAACTCAGTTTTTGAGTATCATTGGGTTTGTAGCAGCCTAGAAGAGTGGGAAAGGAAGCTCAGAAAGGGGAACGGCTGGCCCTGGGACCTGGTGATATGGAGCCCCTGGGAAATCCCACCCAAGCATGTGCTGTTGGGACAGGAGAGAAAGACTGCAGGGCTGACCTTCTCAGCTAGCTAACGTGCTCCCCTCTCTCCTGGCCTGGGTTTTCTCGTTATACCTCAATGGGTTTCCTTTCTAGACTCCTAGAGAGGCCTGTGAAATCATGGATGTGATGGGCTTTGTAACTCTCGAGTACTGTGCAGTGGGTGGAGTGGCTTTCCCATGGCCTCTGTCCAGGACAGTGGCTGGAGGTCTGTGCTGCCCCTGAAGAAGGCTCTTGTTTTAGTCCTGGCCCAGAGCAGTTGTCCCCCGTGTGTGGCCGATCACGGGCCCACCTTCACTCTGCCATCAAGCACTGTCAGTCCCTGCCTGGGTCCTTATGCATCTTTCCCAGCCCTCACCACCACCCCGGGGTAGTTGTCTCTAGTCACCCCCTCAGGGTACTGTAGTCCTGAGGCCCTGACAGGGCACTCAGTGTGGGAAGCTAGGGCACTAAGAGAGCCTAAGCCCTGAGCTGCCCTGGGAGCAGTCCTGAGGATGTGGCGACTATGAGACCCAATTCTGTGGTGCAGATCAGGTGGCCAGCAGGTCTGGCAGTTCAGGACTTGCTTTCCCATCTACCTCAGAAATCAGCCTGCCCAGTCCCATAAGTTGTCCCCTTAGCTGAAGCCTGCCTTCAGTGGCTGCTGAATAGTACTTTGCCCACACCCCACCCTCCCTGTCCTTCCTCCTGAGCTTCTCCAGAAGGATCCCTAAAAGAGAGACTGGTTAGCATAAGAATGTATCAAGCTACCAGAAACAGTCAGGGATGGGCTGAGGATTTAGCTCAGTGGTGTAAGTGCCTGCTTGGCAAGCCCAAGGTTGTCAGTTTGATCCCTTGTACAAAAAAAAAAAAGAAAAGAAAAGAAAAGAAAAGACACAAAGAAACAGTCACAGTCACTCTGAAAAGTTCATTGGTCTCCTAGGTGCTCCCAAAGGAACCAAGATCTCAGAGTGCCCTGGGATGCCCTCGAGATGGAGCTGGGACCCCAGGAGTGGGAGAGGGGAAGCAGATGACAGACAAGGAGCCAGGGTAGAGGCTGAAGGGTCTGCTGTGGATGGAGAGTGAGACTGATTGGAAAAAGAACCCTGTTCCCACACATTGCCTGGACATGAGCAGAAATACCTGGACAAGCATGGTGGGGGAGTTAGGGGCTCCCTAGAACCCAGATGCTTTCCTTCTCCTAGCCCTCTTTGCAGTCCAGTGCAGGCCAGGCCACCACCCAGGAAAATGCCTGATGCTTGAATAAACGATGCAAGTCTTTCTGAGGCCACTTTCTAGTAATGGTGAGACAAAGAGGCCTGGAAAGGCCCCTTTCCCTCCTAAAGTCCTGGTCTTGCCCACTCCACCTGACTGGCTCATCTTCACCCTGCATGAAACACCTACCAGACCTCCCCCTTTGCACCCTTAGCCCCTATAAACACAGTCACCACAGCTAACACACTGGCGTTGACTGTTGGTTTAGCGCCTATCTATGGGGCTTGAGAGTCCCTGAAAAAGGGACTGTGCCTGTTTTATCTATTCTGTGTCCCTAGGCCCTACCATATGGCGCGGCACATGGTGGAACCTCAGTAGGCTGAGTCTGGCAGCGTGGCTGAAGTACAGCTGGCTCCTGGAGAGGGCTGCCCTACAATGGTACTCCTGCTGAGTGAAGGCAGAGCCGCCCTGGGAGGCCCGCCTTCAGCTGCACTGTGCATGACTCAGAGCAGCCCCAGGACTGCTGGCTGTGGCTAGAGTCAGAGGAAACCAAGGTGGAGGTCTGTGTGGTTTCCCAGTCTCTTTTTTTGCAGGACCTTTCAGTGTAAGATGTGGGGACTGCAAGGGGCCACCTACTTACTACAAGTGTCAACACGGGCCTAAGGGTCCTGAGGGAAACTGGTATTAGAGAAATAAGGGGCTTGGGAAGAGGACAAGGCAGGAACCCCTGACACTGTAGGAGAATATTCAGGCTGGGGACACTCTGGCCTTGGATCCATACATCCAGCCATCTGGGTGTGGTCTGTAGTGCAGTTTAATTGCCCGTGTCCTCTTCCTACAAGTGCTGCTTGGTTTGGAGAAAATCTTGTTATCTACGATGTTATGGTCACCATGGCTTAGCCACAGTACTCAGATAATATTTGGTCATACATCAGTCAAAATACCATAAAGTTATCATTTTAGATGAGATTACCCCTTAAACTGGTAGCTTAAGGAAGGCAGCCTTATCCAATCAGTTGAAGGCCTTAGGAGAAGACTGAAGTCCTTTGAGGAAGAAGAAATTCTGTCTGCAGGTTGTCACTGGATCCATATAATGGTGACTCACACCCAGGGACTCAGCCTGTGGGCAGACTTCAATAGGCCCTATACTCATAAGAGCCAAGTTCTTATAATAAACCAATTCCTCTTATACCCTAGAGCTGAAGAACAATACATTAGCCAAATCCTGAATCAAGATATAATTTGAAAAAAAAACTTTTTTAGACTGGATTTTTTTGTTTTGTTTTGGTCTTTTTGAGACAGGATTTCACTGTCTCAGTTCAGACTGGCCTTAAACTCACTGTGTAGCCCAGGCTGGCCTTTAAACTCACAGTGATTCTCCTTCCTCAGTCTCCTAAGTGATGTGATTACAGGTGTAGACTCTTTTGAGGAATAAGAAAGAGTAGGAACCACAGTTTTGACATAAAAATATTAGAATTTCTAGGATTCTAATTGTCCTAAAAAATAGGATTTTTTTTTTTGAGACAAGATCTCACTATGTAGTGCAGACTGGCCTTGAACTCATTATGTTGGCCAGGCTGGCCTCAAACTCATGGCAATCCTCTGCCTCAGTTTGCCAAGTGCTGGGATTGCAGGTATGCAGCACCTCACCAGGTAAAACAGGGAATTTTTGGTTAGGGCTATCTCAGAAAACTGGTTAAAGGCTCAGTGTATGCACTCTGTGTGTGTGTGTGTTTCACTATTAAAGAGAGCCCTAATGTTGGTGTGGTAGTGTATACCTATAATACCCACACTTGGGAGGCTGAGGCAGGAGGATAACATGTTGAGAACCTGTGTCAAAAAATCAAACCAAAATAAAAATAAAAACAAGGCTCTGGTTTAAACCCAGGATAATTTTCTACAGTGATGGAAAGTTCTACAATTCTGTGGTGTCCAATAAAATAGCCACTAGCTCTATGTGGTTACTGAACATTTGAATGGGGCTAATGTGACTGAGGAAGTGGGTTTTTGTTGCTTTGTGTTTTTGTGGTGCTGGGGATTGAGTCCAGGGCTTTGCACACACTAGGAGAAAGCTACCACTCAGCTATTAACTCTAGCCCCTCCTATTTTCTCATCTATTTGGCTGATATTCTTCTACTATTATAAACTCCTCAGGAGCAGGGATCCTGCATGAATGGCTCACTGGGAAGGGTCTGGTATATGTTAGGGACTCACTGATACCTGGTCAGAGAGGGGTGAAGACTGGTACCTGCAGCCTCATGGGATGGACCTACCTGCTTGCAAGGGCCCAGGTTCCTGGCCTTGGACACTGGGACTCACACTTGGGCTTGGCAGCATTTTCCTTCTGCTGGGCAGACTTCCCATGATTCCTCTACAGAACTCTCAGAAGCGCATTGCTGAGACAAATCTGAAAGAGATGCTAGCATGAAGATGAGCCTGTGCTTTCTAGACAACTGTCACTCTTCAGCTTGGCCTGATTGATCACCTCAAGGACACAGGAGAATGACCCTTCCTTTAGGACAGTCTTCTTTCTTGCAAACTGGACACCGACACTGTTTTTTCTCTCTCTCTCTCTTTTTTTTTTTTAAAGAGGGATTTGTAGGGGACTGAACACATGGCCTCTGCACTGAGCTACATCCCCAGTTCTTTTTATTTTTTATTTTGAGACAGGATCTCACAATTCAGCACAGGCTAGGCTCAAACTTGTGATCTGTCTCAGCCTTTTTTTTTTTTTTTTTTTGTCTTTTTATTGGTACCAGGGATCGAACTCACGACTGCCTACTTGCAAGGCAGACACTTATGCCGCTGAGCTAAATCCCCAGCCCCTGTGTCTCAGCCTTTTAAACTTTTGGGATCACAGACATGTGTTGCTGCATCCCATCTTTCCTGTGTTGCTTGATTCCTTGTTTCTGGATCTTGGCCTGTGTACATCTAGAGGGTGGTCTGCCTAGATCCACCCTTCAGGAAATTTTCCTAGAATCCTGTCTTTGCTGATCTTCCCTTAAACTCCTGTGGCCCATTTAGCCATTTCTCTGACCTGAGATCTTTGTTTTATTTTAAAATTTTTATTTGTATTAGTACAAATTTGCAGTAAATAATGATCACATCCATCTTGGGTGGTTGGTACATGTATATAACATAACGCATCTTAATTCTTTTTACTTCCCTTTTCCCTCACCCTGAGCTCTTCTTTTTTTTTAAAACCTTTTTTTTAATTAAACTTTATTTATTTATTTATTGGTACCGGGGATCGAACTCATGACCGCCTGCTTGCAAGGCAGGTGCTTATGCACTGAGCTAAATCCCCAGCCAAATACTTTTTTTTTTTTTTTTTTCCTTGGTACCAGGGATTGAACTCACAACCTCACACTTGCCAAGCAGGCACTTATGCCACTGAGCTTCCCAGCCCCACTCTGAGCCTCTCTTTCCCCACTGGATAGCAGAGGACCATGCCAGGAGGGTCTCAGTCCAGATTCACCTAGGGTCAGAGGTGGGCAAGAGGGATGGCAGGGGCTTGGGACTGGTGTCACAACAAGCAGAGGTGACCCAGAACACAGTTATCGGTGACACGGGACAGAGTGAGTTGTTGGTGGGAGGCTGCACGACACAGTGATGACTTGCAAGGCCTTGGGGGCCCGGCCGTTGGGTCAGTTCCCCTCTTGGTGCCTCTTTCCCCCAGTACGTATCTCGGAGGAAATGCCCCAGAAAAAGGCAAACAGCTGCCTGCCTGGACCCACATGTCCTTTCTTTGCTGACTGCCTCTTCTCAGCGACCCACCCCCTGGGAGCCTCCCTGTTCTCTCACTCCCTGTTGCATTCCTTCCCGTGGTAACTACGCACACTCACTCACTCGTTTATTCCAGTGTTGGCTTAATCTGCCATCATCTCAGTGCCCAGCAGCCCTTTGTTTAGCATTTAGGAAACTCCACTGAGGGCCCTCACACTTGGTAATGAGTGGACAGATCATCAGCTCTTTTACAGGGTCTCATCTGCACAACCATCTAAAGCCCCAGGTTTCTACATGGTTCAAACACTCTATCACAGTGTTGAGGGAGTGGGGTGAGTTCTGTACTTCTCAGATGGCTTCCTTCTTTCCAGAGGGATTCCATTTCGCTGGTGTCTGTGGAGTTCTGCTCTGTGCCAGGTGCCTGCCAAGGGCTTTACGGGGTGGGGGAGAACTCAGCATGGTGGGGTAGCACACTGGCTCCTTCCTTGCCTTTGAGCCCCTCACTACCTGGCTGACACTTCCCATGTCCGTCAGTTTCATGTGATGACTTCCACAGCCTCCAAGAGGCTGGCACACCCTACCTCAGGTGCCAGGCCCCTGCCCTCTTGTTCTCCAGCCCCATGTCATCACTTGGAAGAACAATACCTGTTGGCAGTTGCCACCCCATGGGGAGTTCAGTATTCCCAGGGACAGGGGCTCGTTTACATAAAATGGGGCTGTTATTCACAAAATGGTTCTCCACAGCCACTTCCAGCTCAGCCTTTTGGGATTTGGCAGCCGTGCTCTGTGAGGTGCTGCTGCTGCTTTTGACAACTGTGTTCCCTCACTGCTGGGGCACCCAGCTCAGGTCATCAATAGTCTGCTGTGCCGTAGCCTTTCCTGTGTACGAGGTAGACTACATGCCTACTTTTCCATCTGCCTTGGGCAGCATGGGTGATTATCCCAGCTCTACTTGAGGGTGTGAACTGGAGATTGCACCCTGACTTCACAGGGTTGTGGGGGAGAATTCACTAAGCCTGATACAGAGCAGGTGTCAGGAGGCTGTTTCCTTTCTCCTCGGGCAAGACCACAGTCATCAACTGCAGCAAACTCAGGCTTGCAGGTGGGCCAGGGCGGTGACCAGGGAGAGAGGGGAGCTGCACTCATGCTGGGGCCTCTCTCGTACTCTGTGGCTTTCTTCACCCACTAAGATGAAGGCCGGGAAGCCTCTAGGGCAACATGGAGATCAGGCAGCTGCCGGGCAGGCCTAGCAGGAACGGTAGGGCTGCCCCACTTACAAGAAAATCTCACCATTAACCACACATGGATCAGCAATTTACTATGTGCCACGTCCTTTCTAGGGGACCTGGACAAGTGGGTGGTAGGAAAGTTAGTAAAAAGCAGCTGAGATCAGCACACTACCCAGAATGGTATTTTTTCCCCCTTTTTGAGATACAGGGCACCACCATTGAGCTACATTCCAGCCCTGATCATTTATTTTGAGACAGGGTCTCACTATGTAGCCCATGCTGGCCTTGGATTTGTGGTCCTCTTGTCTCAGTTTCCTGAGTAGCTGGGATTATACGCTTGAGCCACTGTGCAGGACTTGGTTTTTTTTTTTACTATCTCACCTGAACCCTATTTCAGAAGCAAGGTCCAAGGGCCACGAGGAACTTGTATGCCGGCAGCTGCTTTGTGAGCACAGAGCAAGGACTATTATCTGCTCTTCTGTGAAGGTCATTTCCAGTGTTTAGGGTAAGAGTTGAGCTGAAAGGACTGAGCTAAAGTTTGGAAGTCTCTCTCTTTTACTATGTATTTATTGGAACTGAAAACTACCCATGGCTCCAGGGAACTCTTTCAACTGAATCTCACCCTTTTGAGAGAATGATAGACCATAGCTGACAGTGTCATCAGAGACAATACTATGACCTATACAGAAAGCCCACCCGCATCCTTGGAGAGGACCACTTCTCCCCTATCCCAAGTTCCTCAGAAAATAGAAGCAAGTGTACTTACCAGCGTCTCGTACTCAGAGGCTTGGGGACGACACTCAGCTAAAACGCATGCTTCAGTTAGGGCCTTCTGGAGGATCTTCAGAGAGGTTCTTGGAGTCGGCTTGGGAAGCTCAGCATCTGTCTGTGGTTGGCAGTTTGTACGCTGGCCTCAGGACAGAAGCCCTGTGTGCTCCTCAGTAGTCTTGGACTGGACGGCCCTCCCCAGTACCGCCAGCCAGACAAGAAGGGTCAGGGCTCTGAGCTATCAGACACGCAGGCGCAGGTTCTTAGAGTGCTGGCTTCATCTATAAACTCTGTGGTTCTTACAACCACCCGCTTCCTCTGACGGCATCACAGAGGACCGAGGAGCCACCTTGCCCAAGTTCCTGTTTCTGAGGGGAGCAGCTGCTATCTCATGCTGATCCTGGAGGAGGTGGTTCTGGTTTTTGTGGCTTGGTCTGCTCCCCGGAACACAACCAAGGGATATGAACAAGAGTTCCCCTGGAGACCCTAACCATAGTAATCACCAGAGATATTGTTATGGTTGATATACTGTCAACTTGAGAAGTTTAGAAGTTTAACTGACTCAGAAGGGTACTTTGTAAATATCCTCATGCTGTGCAAGAGGGCACAGAGATTTTGTGAGTGCTACACCTAACCTGGTGCGAGGGGTAGTCTGTATACAATATAAAGGAAGAGAAGAGGCTTGTTCCCCCATTTTGCTCTGGCTGCTGCTTTGGAAGTGTTGCCCCAGTGCCATGCCACCCTGCCTTGGAGTCAGTTGATTATGGACTGAAACCTCCACAGTGAGCTAAATAAACCTTTCCTTCCTTCATTTTGAGTGTCCTGTGTTTTGTCCCAGCAAGGAGAGAAAAGTAACCAAGACAGATACATTTTGTTTGTTTTGTTTTTGAGACAGTCTTGTTTTGTAGTTCAGGCTGATCTTGAACTCACTAGGTAGCTCAGGCTGGTCTTCAACTCATGGCAACCCTCCTGCCTCAACCTCCGGAGTGCTGGGATTCCAGACATGCACCACCACAACCAGCCAGGAGAGAGTGAATTTTAGTGATTTCTAAGGTTTTCTGACACCTGAATCTAAGTTCCCACAGGGGAAGCCTAGCAACCTAAACTTGGGGAGACTCTTTTGGCATGTTTGGGAAGCACTGCCTTCTTGCATAGGAACTACCTGGGATCTTGTGAAACTAAACATTCTGACTCAATAGATCTAGAATGGAACTCAAGATTCTCCATTTCTTTTTTTTTTTTTTCTTTTTTGAGACAGGGTCTGGCTATGTAACCCAGGATGGCCTCAAGCTCTCAGCAATCTTCCTGCCTCAGTCTCTTAAGTGCTGTGCATTTATAGGCATGCACCACCATACTAAGTGCAAACTCTCCATTTCTAAACTCCCCAGCCATGCCATGTTGCTTTTATGGAGACTACACTTTGGATATAAAGGTCTGGGTGTAGGGTTGATGTATACCTCATTAGTAGAGGCCCAGGGTTCAATATGTAGCACAAAAGAACAAAAATATGGGCAGTGGTTCTCAAAGTACGATCCTCATGCCAGCAGCCTCACCAACAATAACGGGAATTTGTTAGACATACAAATCCTCACACTGCATCTCAGATAAACTGAATCAGAAATACTAGAAGGTAGGGGCCCAGGAATGTTTTCATAAGCATGCCAAGCGGTTCTGTTGCACACCCAAGCTTGAGAATCACTGGTCTGGGACAGGGAATCTGACAGAACTGCAGTCTGTGGTTCATTAAAATTTACAATTGTAGCCAGTTGTGGTGGTGCACACCTGTAATCCCAGCACTTGGGAGACTGAGGCAGGAGGATTGCCATGAGTTCAAAGACAGGCTGGGCTTCATAGTGAGTTTAGGACAAACCTGGACTACAGGGCGAGAGCCTGTCTCAAAAATTTGTTGTAATAGTTTTATCTGCTGTCTACTCTGATTTGGGGATGGCTGCTCTTTAACACAAAATGGTCCACTGCACTAAAACTCTCCTGAATCTAACTCAGACTCTCCAGCCTTGCTGGTCACTTGCCAACTAGAGCTCTTCTTGCTCTTCTGTGTCCACCATCCCTTATGCCTCCTCTTTGCTCCTGGGGACAGTGTGACTTTGAAGGAACAGGGCACGCAGCGCTGAAGGCACCAGAGTGATGATGCATCCTCCCCCAGGAAGTTTATCAGGTTACTAGAGGGACTAAATATGGCCCAGCACTCCCACTCCTGCCTCAGACAACTCTTGATGCCCACCTCATGTGAGGGCCAGATTTTAAAGACTGGTCTTTAGGTGAAGTCCATGAATGAGTTAGAAAGTAGGGAATGAACCTCTTTGGTGTTTTGTGTGTGTGTGTGTGTGTGTGTGTGTGTGTGTGTGTGTGTGTATGCCAGGAATCAAACTCAAGACCTTGTGCTTGCCAGGCAGGTGCTGTAGTGCTGAGCTACACCCTAGCCCTCTCTACCTTTTGAGACAAGGTCTTTCTCTGTGGTTCATGCTGGCCTCAAACTCATGGTGATACTCTTGTCTCCTGAGTGCTGGGATTACAGGGATGTGCCACTATGCCTGGCTGTTCTTGAAAGAATTCTACCATAGGGTCTGGTGTATAACTCAGTGGCAGAGCACGGTCTTAGTATGCTTGAGGTCCTGGGTTCAATCCTCAGAAAAAAGAAAATAATCCTACCATATAACTTCTTTTCCACTTAAGGAGGCACCTAAGAATTAGAAGATTTGAAATCCAACTTTGCCACTGGGAATGTATAAGAAATATGTATTAGACCCTCTGGGTAGCTGAATAATGAGGATCACAAGTTTGAGCCCAGCCTGGCCAACTTAGCGACAACCTGTCTCAAAATAAAAAAACAAGGGGCCAGAATACCCAGTGTGAACCCCCCGAGTTCAATTGCCAGTACCATAAAACAAAAACAAATTTGTTCTCCTACCTTGGCTCCAGGCCAGAGTTCCTAAAACCTGTGATTTCCTAACCAACAGGGGTGCTAGAAGCATATTTTGGTCTAGTATTTGGTCTTTGATCCAGTTTCTGACATAGAGCACCTAAGTCCTTTGGTATCTCCTGGGTGATAGGAAAGTCTTTTACTCTCATGAGGCAATTCTCAGTGGGCTCTGGATGCAGGTTGGCCATCAGAAAGACCAAAGCTTAGCACTTTCAGCCCCATCCCTCAAGGTGAGAGGGGAGAGGAGCTAGAGACTTATCAGCTACATTTGCTTGGAAAAGCCTCCCTAAAAACCCCTAAGGGGTTCAGAGTTTTATTTTTTGTCCTTTTCCTTTTTATCGGTACTGGGGATCGAACTCACGACTGACGACTGCCTGCTTGCAAGGTAGGCACTTATGCCTCTGAGCTAAATCCCCAGCCCCCTAGGGGTTCAGAGTTTTAGATCAAACAGGGTCATGTGCTAAGGGTGGTGTACTCTACCTCCAGGGCAGAGCAGCTCCTGTGCTTGGAACCCTTTCAGAGCTCATTGGGTGTACCCCTTATCTAGCTGTCCATCTATAGTCTTTCTAGGAAACTGATAAATGTGTTTTGGAGTTCTAAAGCTATCACAGCAAATTATCACACCTAAGCAGGGGGGTGTGGGAACCCCCAATCTGTAACCATGTGGGACAGAAGTGCAGGTGACTTGGGGATCCACTACTTTCAACTGCTGTCTGAAGTGTGTGTACGGGCAGTTTTGAGGGACTGGTCTCTTAGCCTGTGGGGTCTGCACTAATTCATGCGAAGTTTGTAATTCAATGGGAGGACACCTAACTGTGCAGTGTTAGAGAGCTGGTTGTTATGGGACAATGCACTCACAAAAGTATAGAATGTAGCAGATCAAACTGTTCCCCTTATAAAATTATTAGTTTTGTGACCACTTGTAAATTAACTCTGGTGCTGTTTCTGCAGACATAAAATTGGAATAGGCATTTCAATGGGTCAATAAGGTGCTCTTCTCCCAAGACTGGGAACTGTGTAAGGGTCTGATCTGTCGTTGGCACTCAAAAAAAAAAAAAAAAAAAAGATTAATAAAATATAAAAGTGCACTGGTTTTTTTTTTTTTTTTTTTTTGAGACTGGTTTCACGATGTAATTTAGGCTGGCCTTGAATTCACTATATAGCCTAGGCTGGTTTTGAACTAACAGTGCTCTTTACACCTCAGCCTCAGCTAAGAGACCAGTCCCAAGAGCTGGGGTTACATGTGTGTGCCGCCATCCCTGGTTATAAACTGATTTTTAAAGAACTGGAAACTTATAGGTACAAACTCCCTATGGTGAACATTATCATTATGTGTATTTAAAGTGCATAAAAAAAAAGAATTGCAAACTCATGACCCTGAACTTGCTAGGTAGGCGCTTATGTTGCTGAGCTAAGTCCCAGGCATGCAAACTACTTTTTCAAGTGAGGTAACTTTGGTTAAATCACTCAGATTTCCTAAACTTGGCATGGTAGTATACACTTGTATTCGCAGTACTTGGGATGCTGAGGCAGGAGGATCACTTGAGTATAAGGCCAGCCTAAATTACAGACAAGACCGTCTTTTTTTTTTGTTTGTTTTTATTGGTACGAGGGATCGAACTCACGACTGCCTGCTTGCAAGGCAGGCGCTTATGCCGCTGAGCTAAATCCCCAGCCCCAAGACCCTGTCTTAAAAAACCAAACCTAACTGAACCAAACCAAATCAAATCAAGGCTCAGCAGCACAGTGCCTATCTGACAAATGTGATGCTGTGAGTTTGATTTCTGGCACCAAAAAAAGAAAAAAATCAAAACATGTTTCTGAGGTGTTTTCTGCCTACAAAACCAAAGTTTTATATAATCACTTATTTAGTCAACTTTTCTTTTTTTTTGAGGCAAGGTCTCTCTATGTAGTTCAGGCTGGCCTTGAACTCATAGTGACCCTCTTGCCTCAGCTTCCTGTGTGCCAGAACTACATGCATGCGCCACCACACCTGGCTTAATTTACCTCCTTGCTTCCCACAAAGGAGCCATGTTTTTTGGGGGAGTACTGAATGGGAGAAAATGAAATTTAAGTCTGAAGAGGGATGAGGGAAGAACCAGTTAGCACAGTCATCTGAGGACCATTTCCAAACGCAAGCAAAGGGGAAAGCATACGGGGGTGGCTGAAAGGGCCAGAAGCCCTGTAAGTTTTAAGAGCAACCATGGCATCCTATCAACTCCAGCCGTGGTACTCCGTATATCAGGTGCTCAGCATGGTAACTGTTCCTGTTACATGCTTTTACTTCATGTCTGCTACCACAACAAGCAGGGCCACAACATTTCACACGAACCTGCCAGGGACACAGCAACCCAGATCTACTCATGGTAGCAGAGGCCCCTGAATCATCAAAGCTGACTGGTGATGATGGCCTCTTCACATTATTATTTGGGGGAGAGGTACAGGAATTGAACTCAGGGCCTCAGGCAGGCGTTGCACCACTGAGCAAAATTCCTGGCTGTTCACACTATATTTTTTTAAACACTATTCTTCATAGGTACAAATATAGCCAGTGGGAGGAACCCAGAAAAGTGACTGCAGGTTATTATTCAGCAGGCAGAAATTGGCAACTCCACATAAGATAGTGGAGCTGAGATGTTGAACACCATTCCCAGGGCTCAGCTTCTTCTTCATCAACAGTGCTGTCAGGTTTCACATGATTTCTTTTTTTTTTTTTTGTACCAGAAATTGAACTCAGGCTCTTGAGCATGCCAGGCAAGCACTTATGCTGCTGAGCTACATCCCCGGCCCCTACATGATTCCTGTTTTCTTTTTACCATATATAATTTATTAACTTGTCATAGCTGTGGAGCCTCTACATGATGCTTTTTTTTATATGATTCATTTTTAAAGAAAAAAATTTAAATTGGTGATTGAACCCAGGGTCTTCACACTGAGCTTTATTTCCAGCCTTTTTCAGTTTTTTATTTTGAGACAGAGGTCTTGTTAAGTCTCTAAATTGTTCTGGGTTCTAACTCAAGATTCTCCTGTCTTAGACTCCTAGAGTGCTGGTATCATAGGTGTGTGCCACTGTGCCCAGCTCTGCATGAGCTTTGATTGGAGGGAACATGGACATGTCAGACTGACCAAGAATCAGTCTGAACTCATTAGCTGTACAATTTTGGGCAGGTTATCCTGAAATCTCTTTCTGCACCTACAAATAGACAATGTCACTGAGTAAGATAGGTGATCACAAATAGGAAAATACACAGCACAGAACCGGGGTCCAACACTAGGCATAGTGGTACATGTCTGTAATCCCAATACTTGGGAAGCTAAGGCAGGAGACTTGCCATGAGTCCAAGGTCAGCCTACACTATGTAGTGAGAGCTGATGCAAAAAAAAAAAAAAGCCTTCAAAAAACCACAAATGAAAAAAAAAAAGAACCAGCATATAGTAACTCAGTCCTTGTCTCACACCCCAAAAAGTGGCTTCAGAGAAATAACACCAGCAGTCAAATAACAATGAGACATATACAGCTTTATTTAATAATCTGTAAAAAGTCATACTCTGACAGAGTGACAATTCCTTATCTTAGCAGAAAGCAAAACAATGTATCTGAAAATCTTCTCCCAAGACTGGGAACAGTGTAACCCTGAGCTTACAGCTAGATGTGCCATGGCTGGGGTCCTGCTGTGTGGCAGCTGCTCTCCATGGTTCTTTCCTCTCTGCCCAGTGGTACACTCTGGAGGGCCTGGAGCCCCTCACAGCGGACAGGGGCAGAAAATAATTTTACCTGGACAAGGCTGTCCTTACAACTTGGCCCCTTCCTTCTTATAAGTCGGAGTTTATAGAATTAAGACTGTTTCTCAAAATCAGTTATCTATTCAATTGATCTTTAAGTCTACTGAAATCAAGACTCAACATGATACTGTCAATGGTTGTTCCACTCCTCCCATGCATTTCCTCACCAGTGACACAGTTTTTGAGCTATACTTCTCCCTTTTTTTGAGATCAGGAGATAGAGAACCCTCTCCATCACACACCTGAGAGGCTCCTCTGGCAGATGTGTGCCTGTCTGGAAAGTAGTTATCAAATGGTAGTGACAGCAGTTTTGCTCTGCAGAGTGGAGGCCTGGCATTTTGTTTTCTACTTCTCATGCTAAGAGGTTCTAGTAATCAAGTAGCTCCTTTAGAGAAAACTTTATGTGTGTCAGAACTTCATTGTTCATGAGCTTCCAACAGGCTATATTCCTCCCGTTTAATTATAGAAGAGGCTATGTGAAGCCATCTGGAAAGAAGGCAGTAGCTGGTGCCCTCGCCTACTCCTACATAAAAGCCAACCCTTTTGCTACTGGTCAGAATCAATTAACAGTCCAAACAGTATTACAGTTTTCTACATTCCTCAGAGTTGCTCTTTCTAGAAATCATTCTGTAAATCTTGTTGACCAATTTGGAACCAAAAGAGAATCTAGTGGCCTATCTCATCTAGATATATGTTCTGTACCTTTCCCTTAAAAAATATCATTGAGAATGCAAAACAAAAAATTCCCTTTTCTTTTTTGCTGAAGCACTACAAGAAAGCATGTCTAAAATTACAGAACTATGCACACACAAACACAGACACACGTGCTCGCACACACAGAGCTGAGGATCAAAGAATCTTATCAGATACATAGTTGAGGGAGCACAGAAAAAAGCTGGCAAGAGAAGATATGGAAATTAGATCAATTAAAGATGTTGGAATGTTACAGTAATGGCATGGATGTGGTTCTCGGTATATACAAAAAAGGGGTGGATGGGCAGAGAATGATAAATCCAGGCTACTAGAGAAAGGTTCAGTGGCCATGCATGAGTTAAAGACAGTGAAGGCCAGTTTACAGGTGAAATGTGGTATGGAGTGGTAGTCTGAAGGAGGATGGACTTGCATGGTCCGGGAGGAGCATCTGCTTAGCAGGACACCTCCATGGTCTGATGTCTGTCCAGGGCATCAGGGGACTCACAGGACTCTTGAGTTCCATCTGAATGATTGCTGGTGACAGACCGGCTGAAGGGACTTTCTCCAGAGCCAATGCTACTTGAGGTTGAGTGGGTTCGTGATCTGGCGAGCCGCGTCATGCCGGCAGATGGTACTGTAACAAAGAACCAACAGCACTAGAAGTGGAGCCTTGATCAAGCTCAGCTACATGTTTTACCAAAAGCTTTATTTTTGGATTTCCCAAACCACTTAAGATAACACCCACAACAAGACACAGCCATCCCCATTTTGCAATATTTGCTTTCAGTGAGTGACTATATACAGGTTGCTGTAATCCTCCAGCTATGGTTGGAATCTCAGCTGTTTCTAGTCTACAGCATAAGGGGAAGCCCTGAGTCTGGAGTACAGCCTCTTTAGCTGTACCCACGCCATTCATATAGTGATAAGGAAGGAGGCTTTGGGAACCCACATAGGTAACCAAAACCTTCAGTGCATGCAGGACTAAAACAACAACAAAAAAGAAAGACAAACCACACAAGTATGAAAACATTTCACAAACACAGTGCAAGCCCGATACAACAAGACTACCATCCGCGTCCACAGGGTACCCATGCTGTCTGGGGAGGAGTTGGAAGGTATGGGTAGAAGGGAAGGCAGGCAGGCCTGAAGCTGTTCTCTATACAGGGCTGAAGCATGAGTTGCCTGGAAGGGAAGACCTCTGGGGGTGCTTAACCCAGACTGTTCTGCCACTGAAGTGCCTTCCAGCTTGGCTGGCACACTGTCTTACCTGGCATAACCTCTTGCTTATCCTGAGGTTCCAGCCACTACTCCGGAGTTCTTCAGGTTAACATTTCTACTCATAGTCGAGGCTGCCCTTTGATTCCCATGTCAGGATTACCTCAAGGATCAGGTGGTGGGAGAGGGAGCCTGTCTATCAAATTTCAGCTGCTGCCATGAGCCTGAACTTAGGATGATGAGAGGAGGCCTAAGTATTACAACCTGGTCCTTTCTTTCTCCTGGGGAACCAGAGCTGAACCTGTAGGCTAAACCTTTTGGAGCACAATGAGCCACGTTCTATCGGGCTCTCACTGCACAGGAAAACCGCGGACATGCTGCAGACAGCCAGTGCAACCAGAAGAGCATGGCTGGGAGGCGGGTGGGGCCAGCACAGAGGAAGATACCTGACTCGGTGCTGAGGTGACTGAGCTGCACATACGGGACTGGAAGCAGGATGGACACAGGAAAAGGCAGGTTAGTGACCCAAGAGTGCCCAGTGGCAACCTTGGCTGCCTAGTAGACACTAACAGAATATCCCTAAGTGAGGGATGAAATCTTATTTTAAGGTTCCAGAGGAGGTGAGGTGAGGCTTTTGTATCATACTGAATATCATTTCTCTCATCTAGACAGAGACAACTGTTTTCCCCTCCACTCTGCACAGCTACCCTGCTTTGGATCAGAAATGGGCTGCAAGATCAGTGGTTTTGTAAAAAGGGTGGTGAACAGGCTCTAAGGGGACTTCTGCTCCTCCCAGTGAGCCAGAAGGCTGTGGGTGTGGGCTCGGCTGGTAGTGGCTCACAGATGGGGACGACACAGCCACTCTAGACAAGACACACATGGTCTGCCTGGCAGGTACAGGGCTCTACCCAGGGCCCAGCTGCCCAGGATGCTGCCTAGTCAGCTCACCAGTGGCCATCATTCACACTGATACCCAAGACAGGAAAATCACCCTGCTGGGTAAAGAGCTCTGTACTTGGGTGAAACGATTTTTCTTCTTAAAACTCTAAGAATGGAGCCAGTGAGAGTTTTTTGTGACAAATGAAAAAGCTTGAGGGTCTCACAATACACGAGACCAGGACAGTGGCATACAGCATGGACATATCCTTGGACCTACTATGAAATATTCTGCAAGTTCATCTCCTGTGAACAGATTTCACTAAGAACACCACCTTTTTCTTTTTCAGTCTCCATAATAAACTGGAATGCAAATCATACCTTCCAATTCACGGCTAAGACAGCCGAAGCCTTAATGATTAAAAATGTGCGCTCTAGAGTCAGAGGCCAAGGTATGAATCATGGCTCTGCAGCTTAATTGTGACTCTGGTAAATGTGCTCAGCCTCTTTGAGCCTTCGTTTCTTTTTCCGAATTGGGTCAGATAACAGAACTTACCTGTCAGGTTAAAAGTACACAGTGCCTAAAAAACATTTGGGTTTTGACTTCAGGCTGGCTGGCACAGAGGCTGGGCCCTGAGAGCTGTGGCATCCCATAAGTTAAACTGCTCCTGTTATACAGATTCCCTCACACATAAAATTTTTCTAGACAGAAAGTTGTGTACTACTCACTGTAGCCCATTCCCTGCAAAAAGTACTTGAAGGCCTCGGTGAGCTTCCCAGGCTGGGGAAACAAGATAAGAAGGCATTAATCTTTCGGATAGGCAGAGAGGAGAATTGAATGACCTTTTTTTTTTAAACTTCTTACCTGAACTACTTGGGGCAGTCCCCCACAGTCTGCCATCTAGGAGAGGAAAAATATGTAAGTCAGCCAAGACTTGTCCTTAAGGGGAAATGCTTAGAACATTCCAACTAGGCCATGATTTTTAGATTCCTTAACATTTCATCATATCCAAGTTTACATTTCCTCAGTGCATTCTGTATAAAGACTTAGATGCTAACAATAATTTTGGATAGAAGTCTGAAATTACTCTTCAGTGCTTATTCATTCACAAAGTATCACGCCTGGCTTGCAGGTCCACGGCAGGGGTTTTTGTCAGGATAAAAAGAAAAGTTAGGGGGCTGGGGATTTAGCTCAGCGGCAATAAGCACCTGCCTTGCAAGCATGCAGTCGTGAGTTCGATCCCTGGTACCGATAAAAAAGTTAAAAAAAAAAAAAAAAAAGGAAAGTTAGCCACTACTTTCAACTTTGGCTTTGCCTTCACCTGAAGAATGTTACTTGCAGGCTTTGCCTCCACCTGAAGAATGTTACTTGCAAAGTTCTCAAACAGTATGACCTAACTTCTCAGTGCTTCATGGTTTCTAAATCCCTTTCAGCTCACTGTCCTTACTCTAAAATGAACCAGGAGCTGATGCTGGTTCTGCCAGCTCTCCTGATCAGTCACTAGTCTCTCTGATTTGGTGGGGTTGTTTTCTTCCTCATTAGCCTTTACATTGTGTTTTGTTTATTGGGTGCTAGGGATGGAACACAGGGATTTGCACATACTGGGCAAGCACTCTACCACTGAGCTATATCCCAAGCCTATTTGGGCCTGGTCCTCATCCTATTCTATCCTATCCATTTAAAGACTATGTCTTGCTAAGTTGCCCAGTCTGGCCTCAAAATGTGTGATTTTCCTGTCTCAGCCCCCTCAGCTGGGATGGGCATGTACCATTAGGATTGGTACACTGGTTATCTGTCAGCTTTATGGGATGTACAATGGGATTCTTAGCTGGACCAGGGCAGAAACATTCCAAGTTGGAGCCCATTCTGAGCAACTTAGCAAGCTCTTGTTTCAAAGTTACAAAAAAGGTGGGGGCTGAGGATGCTCCAGGTTCACTTGTCAGTACTATGAAACCAAAAAATTTGGGTTATTGATGCTCAGTAGGTAGCTCAGTGGTAAGAGTGAAAGATATATGAGGTTTAGTCCTCAGTGATCCCAAAAGAATCAACCAAACTACTCACTTGAGTTTCTGCCCAGGAGATTCTGACTCAATAGGTCTCAGGGTAAGGTTCAGGAGCTTCTCTCCCTCTTTTTTATTTTTGGTACTGGGGATCAAACTCATGTCCTCACACTTGTCAGGCAGGTACTGTGCTGCAGAGTTATATCCCTGGCCCTTTCTCTCTCTCTTTTTTTTTTCCTCCATTACTAGGGACTGAACTTTACACTAAGCTATAGCCTCAGGTAGCTAATCTACTATCTTTCTCACTTCTTTTTTGAGACAGGGTCTCACTATGTAGTTCAGTATGGTCTTGAACTCATGGAAATCCTCCTCATGCCTCAGCCTTCTAAGTGCTAGGATTATAGGCATGTGTCACCACGTCCAACTTTGTTTGTTTGGGATTCCCAGAATCGAACTCATCACCTTAAGCTTGCCAGGGAGGTACTGTGCTGCTAAGTTATATTCCTAGCCCAACACCGGCTTTTAAAAAAGATTTTGAGGCCAGATCTTGCTAAATTGCCCAGGCTACGCTCAAACATGTAACCTTATCTCAGCCTCCCAGGGTGCTGGTATTATAAGTATGTGCTACAATGGCCAGTTAGGTACTTGCATCTTTAAAAGGTTTTTAGAGATATAGCGTGCTGGTGTACAGACTGCACTGGTCTCTAGAATGTGATGGCCACCTAGTAGCCCAAAATCCTCCTTACAGATTTTGCACACTCTTAAGTTCAGAGAGTGTCCTGTAGGCTAGCTGCTTTCTTTTTTTTTTTTTTTTCTTCTTCTTTGTTTTCCCAGTGCTGGGGATTGACCTGGGCTTCTTGCATGCTACCTAAGTAATCTAAGACTAAATTCTATCCCGAAGTCTTTTCTTATTTTGAGATAGGATCACACTAAGTTGTATAAACTGGTGTTCTTCCTGCCTCAGTTTCCCAAGTAGCTGAGACTGCAGGTGTGCATCACCACATCTGGCAAACTGACATTTTATTTTTGTTTTTTCCAGACCCAGAATCTTGCTATATAGTCTAGGCTAGCCTAGAACTCACCATGTAGCCTAGGCTAGCCTTGAACTCTCAGCAATCCCCCTTTTGCAACCTCCCAGAGTGCTGGGATTATAAGTGTGTCCTACCTCACTGGTATTTTACAGAAAGGGCATGAATCTCATGGTTCAATTCACTGGCATTAAGATTTTCTTTGAATGGGGACCGTTATTTTGGGAGAATGGAATGCCGCAGAAGGCATAGGAGTTTTAGGTTAACAGCAAACATCTGAAAAGTCTAAAGAGGAAAAACGAACATCCAACCTGACAAATACAAAATAAATAAAAAGGTACAAAGGCTGTATTTTCATGAAACTTAGGAGGAGAAGGCTGTCTAGAACCATAAAACAGTTCCCATATGAGAGTATCAGGAGAAATTATTTCTAAGACATACCCATCAAGTAGTTTGAGAATCAGTTCAATCAGTCACAGAAGCTACCTACTCTGTTCCATGTTATTGTGGATGGACACATTTGACCAGAAATAACCCTATCTATGTAGTGAAAATGTAAAACCACAATATTGTTATTCACATTTTTAAATGAGCCCATTAATCATCTGGAGCCCAGAACACTTTAACTTTGAGCACCTCATAGCATTAACCTCACGGTATATTTCTAGAAAGTATGGGCCGTTTTGGTGACAAGGCCTCCTTTCAAGAACACTTCAAAGAGAAAAGGGAAGAAGGCAGAAGTCTTTAAGAAGCAATAACAAAAGATCAGCATTTAAATCTATAGTAGTTCAGGTAGGCAGTAGTAGCCACTCTGGAAAAAGCTAGATGGAGACAACACTAGTTTAGCAGTCTTGCCTGGGGTCTACTTGGAATGGGAAGAAATTTGATACCAGCCCTAGCAGTTTGGTACAAGATTACTCTCTGCTTGCTCTAAAAGAAGGAAATGCAACCATTATTATTACTAGAATGTTTTTAGAAGCTTCCTTACCAGTACAGCAGGATTCAGCATGTAAAGAATTTCCATCTATTATTTTGATTCTCACAGTAACACTGAATACTGCCTAAGAAGTTTTTAAGGGCATGAGAAAATGCTTACAGCACAAATGTAAGGAAAACAGATATAGAAGTTATAAATATCCTTTGATCTTTTTTTTTGGAGTGCGGGGGATTGACCCTAGCCCAAAACCTCAAGTATGCTAGGCAAGTGCTCTAGAGCCACAGCCCCAGCACCACCTCTGAGCTTTTCTTTTCCTTTTCCCCCACTGATACTTGGGAATGAAACCAGGGCCTTCACACTGAGCTACAACCCAGCCCTTTATTTTTTTAATAGTATCTTCCTAAGTGCCTATGCTGGACTCAAACTTGCCACCATCATACCTCAGCCTCCCATAGAGCTAGGATTAATGTGCGTGCCACTAATCTGGCTTCTACACATATGAGCATCTTATAGATCAGAGGGAGAGGCAAGTGTGGTGGTGCAAGCCTGTGATCCCAGCATTCTAGGAGACTGAGATAGGAGAATTACAAGTTTGAGCTCATCCTGGGCAACCTGGGAAGACCGCAGGTTTAAAAAAAAGCAGAAGAAAATTACCTGGTACCTGGTGGGAAAGCACTTCATCATTGAGATTTTGAGTAGCACTAAACTGCTAGGATTACAATACATATGTTCTACCACATCTAGCAAGACATCAATATTTTATAAGAGGTTACCTTTGGTTAGCAGAATTGTGTTTAAAAAAATTTTTTTGAGACCGTCTCAGTGTGCAGTCCACACTGACCTTGAACTCACTACGTAGCCCAGCTGGCCTCAAATTTATAGTGATCCTCTTGCTTCTGCCTCCCAAGTAAGTGCTGGGATTACAGGCATATACCACACTTGGCAAAAGTTTTTATTTTTTATTTACATTTTCTATCTTTCAATTTTCTACAATGAAAATATATTCAGAAAAAAGCATTAAAAGATAGAAAATATGAGAAGCATACAGTGGAGCTTTGCTTCATTCTGGGCAACTATCACAGAAAATACATTAATTTGAAGCATTATAATGTTCTCTCAGGGGGTTTACAATGAGGGAAAAAGACACATTACCTTTAGCAAAGTTGTATTTATAGGGTTGAGGCGAGAATTACATTCAACCTAAAAAAAAGAAAGAAAACTTCAACTTTACAAATCGGGTGAGAAAATAAGTAGCATAAGAACAATTCTGTAAGATCAACAACTCAGTTTAGTAATGGTTGAACTAACCAGATTACCAAAATATATCATGGGAGAGATAGATGATACATTTCATATTTGATAGTTCTGAACAAATTTAAAAATCTGGCTAACTTCATATTGTTGGTCTAAGTACAGTCTTTAAACAATCACATGTTGTATCCATACTTCTCCTATGGCTATACAACACGGAGAAAGTTACTTTGCTCCCTGCAGAAATCTAACTGAACTGTGCCCCTCTCCTGGGATCTCTCTGTTGTTCCAGTCCTCACGATTGAGACCTACATACCTCTCTCCTTCTATATTTTTCCTTCCTTCTTTGTTTTTCCCAGGCCTGGAGTGGGTTTACCATTTCTTATACCCTGTTATAGATTAAAAACTGGTGGTCAACACCTGCTGAATTAAATCTGCATGGTACTGAGCGTAGATGGCCCACCTGAGGAAAGCTGCCAGCATAAACAGAGATGAGAAGAGCTGGGTGTTGTGGGTTTTCCTACGTGTTGCTGTGTTTTATTTTATTTTTTGTCTTTTTTGTTTTTATCGGTACCAGGGATCGAACTCACGACTGCCTGCTTGCAAGGCAGGCGCTTATGCCGCTGAGCTAAATCCCCAGCCCCTCGTGTTGCTGTTTTGAGTTGTTGGTTCTCCTGGAGGAGCTTGTCATGACTAATTTCCCCAATATGAGTTCAACCAACCACTATTATCAGAGTAGTTCGGGACCTTGTTGGTGAGTGACTGTGGTTCACTTTCGGGGAGCTCTGGTCCTTACACTGAACATTGTTCCCTAACTCCAGAGGGGATTTTTTTTCTCCCAGAGCAGTCATGATAATTATCACAGCCTGATACATTTATGTTTGGGAAGATAACTTCTGGGTGCAACAATGTTTATTATTTGTTTTTGGTGCTAGGAATTAATCTCAAAGTCTTGTGCATGGTAGTAAATATGTGCTCTATGATTGAGCTCCACAACTCTTATTCAATGTTTTGTGGTTAATAGATCAACTAGCTCTCCCCTTTTACGTGTTTGCCAACAACAGACATAAAACCTGTTCAGTTTGGAATCCATTGGGATGAAAATAGATAACATAAAGCAAAATTATATTAATTTAAAATTTTCACAACCAACTCCATTAAATATTGAAGGACAAACAGGATTTCTATGGATAACTAGAGAAATGGAACGTGTTTTGAAAGTTTCCAGAGTTTGAGGAAAACATAAAAGACACAGGGTATGTGAAGGGAACATGCTTGCTAGGCAGGAGCATGTGTAATTTCCAGCCCTGTTTTTGTCTTTTTGAGACACGGTTTTGCTATGCCATTCAGGCTGGCCTTGAGTTCATTGTGTAGCCCAGGCTGGTCTCAAACTTGCAATGATCCTCTTATCTCAGCTGCCCAAGTGCTGAGATTACAGGTGTGTGTTACCACACCTGGCTATCTTCCCTTCTCTCTCACTCTACAAACACTTTCCAAAAGCACTGGCCTTTTGATTACTTTATTAAATTCTCTTTCTAAAAGTCTCATTTTTTAAACATTCCTCTCTAGATAAGGTAAGTGAAGGTTGCCAAAAAAAAAAAAAAAAAATCAAACATGTACATACACATATTTGTTAAATTACACAATGTATAGAAAAGATGCAGTCATCATTTGAAAACTGTCAGCTTCATTTGTAATCAAATAAATGCAAATTAAAATGGTAAAAATACCATTTTTTGTTTTTGGACGACAGTCTTGCTTATAGTATAAACTGACCTCTAGCTCAAGATTATTCTCTTGCTTCAGCCTCCTGAGTACTGGGATTATAGGTGTGTGCCACCACACCCAGCCAAAAATACCAATTTTTTGGAGGGGGGGAAGATAACCAGGGATAGAACTCATGACCTCGCACTTGCCAGGCAGGCACTTATGTCGCTGAGCTAAATTCCTGGCCCCCAGAAATATCATTTTTAATATACAAAATTAATTGCTTATAATAAAAATCCAGAAGGCTAGAGACACTGCTCAGTGGCATACATCATTCTCATATATGTGAAGCTCTGGGTTCAGTCCCTAGCACTGCAAAAATAAATACATAAATTTAGTGCTAGACATGGTATAGTGACAACAGGCAGCTTTATTTATATATAGATATTTATCTATATTTTCTTTTTTCTTTTGTACTGGGAGCAAACTCATGACCTCGTACTTGCTAGGTAGGCACTTGTGTCACTGAGCTATATCCCTGGCCAGTTTCATATATTGCTAGTGGCAATACACTGGTATGTTTTTTCTTTCTTTTTTTTTTGGCGGTGCTGGGGACTGAATTTACAACCTCATGCTTGCCACACAAGTGCTTATGCCACTGAGCTAAATCCCCGGCCCAGGATGTTTTTTCTGGAAGTGAATCTGGCAAAATGTATTAAAATTCTTATAAAAGTTCATTTATTTTATTTTATATTTTATTTGCAATACTGGGGTGTGAACCCAGTACCTTGGACATGCTAAAGTTGCACTGTAGCATTCAACTATTTTTTGTTTTATTTTGAGACAGGTCTCACTAAATTTCCCAGAATACCCTGGACGTGTGATCTTCTTGTCTTAATCTCCTATCTGGGATTGCAAGTTGTGCCTCCGTATCCAAAACAAAGGTCTATGTTTTTTGGCTGGGCATGGTGGCATACCTGTAATTCCAGGACTCGGGAGGGTGAGGTAGGAGGCTCACTGAAAGTTTGAGGCCAGCCTGAACTACACAGCAAGACACAGTAAAATGGGCTGGGCATTTAGCTCAGCGGCATAAGCGCCTGCCTTGCAAGCAGGCAGTTGTGAGTTCGATCCCTGGTACCAATTAAAAAAAAAAACAGTAAAAAAAAAACAATGAAAAGATTTTTGAACCATTAATTCTACTTCTGCAAATTTACCTCATGAAAATAAAGATTCAGTCAAAGATTTAATAAAGAAGTTCAATACTAGTTAGTAGTGGTATAAAATCACCACTGTGGTATAATCAACAGAAGTAAGGGTAAACAGACTGAATATTACATAGACATACTGTCTTCATAATATAGAAAAATGTTATCAATAGTTTGAAATAATAAGGCCCCCAAATCTTTTATATTTAATGTAGTCAGGTCTGTGTTTAAAAACATAAATAGTCTGAGGCTGGGGATTTAGCTCAGTGGCATAAGCGCCTGCCTTGCAAGTATGAGGTCGTGAGTTTGATCCTTGATACCAAAAAAAAAAAAAAAAAAAAAAAAGGTAACAGTCTGTCTTTGGATAATGGGCTCATAATTGGCCTCCCTTAGCCCATCCTTCTATTTTTAAATGTTTTCATATTTTCTTTTTTGAGATTTGAGTCTCACTATGTCGTCCAGGCTGGCCTCAAACTTGTGATAATCCCCCTGCTTCAGCTTGCTGAGTGTTGGAATGATAAGAGTATACTGCCACATCTGACAATTTTTTTCATATTTTCCACAATGAACATAGCATTTTTTTTTTTTAATTTTTTTTTTTTTTGTCTTTTTCGTTTTTATCGGTACCAGGGATCAAACTCAGGACTGCCTGCTTGCAAGGCAGGTGCTTATGCCGCTGAGCTAAATCCCTAGCCCGAACATAGCATTTTTGTCGGTGTACTATGTACTTGGGAAGAAGGTAGAGAAAAAGTACACAGGCTCTCAGCAGTCTTCCAGTCTGCTGTACTTAAGCTGGTAATCTGTTCTGCACTGAAGGCTGGGCTGTCTGGAGTCTGACAGTAACTAAATGGTACTTCACTGTACCACTTGCCACAAAGTGAACTGTACCACACATAGCAATCAAGGGCAACAGTGACCCCATCTGATGAAGCCTAGTGACTGACAAAGAACTAATTTTCTAATGTGCATCACAAAGAACAAACCCTAAAAAGTTAGTAATAACTGGTTCTATTACGTTGGCAGAGTGCTCAGGACCTTACGCTTGCCAGGCAGACACTGCATTATATCCCTGGCCCTTTACTACATTTTCATCTGTCTTCCTTGCAATACCAGGACATACTTACCACAGCCTCCACAGCAGGTGAATTGTCCCCAACCACCAGTAAAGTAGAACACCTAGGAATAGGCAGCAGAAGAGGTATGTCTCAGTAAATAAGTACACATTATCGATTCTCCACTCAACACTGAATTAGTCATGACAGACAATTTAAATAGTTGGCAATTCAGGGAGAAACTGAGGGACTTACTTTAATGTTTTTAATCTGTTATCATTTTGGCCTAGAATGGGTCTTTCAATTTCCAGGTCTCTGCGTCTAAAAAACAAAGCAGAAATCAATGCCTTTGAAAATCAAAACATATTGAGGAATATGAAAAGTATCTTTTTTTGGTTTTTGGTACCGGGAATTAAACTGACAACCTCATGCTTGCTAGGTAAATGCTTACGCTGCTGAGCTAAATCCCCAGCCCCAAAATATCTTTCTTTCACACCTGAGAAAGGAAGTGTCCCTGAACAGTGCTCTGGAGTAGCCATTTTAGAGGCTTCCTGAACAGTACAGAGTAAGAACAAGGGACTCTTTAGAGTGTTAAAAGGATACGACTTTAAAATTCAATAGCAAGACTACTGAAGCTGCCAAGTCCTAAGTCTTCATTTTCCAACTAGTTTACAGAAATAAACTGTGGTAGGTAGGCCGGGGAGATGTGACAGTGTATCTTGGAATACATAAATCAGCGAACCGACTAGTATACATACATAACTTTTTCCTGATGACGAACTATCAGCAAAGAGCAACTAAGTCAAAGCTAAGTCTCTCCTTGGTCTCTGCACATGCACTTTCTGGTGCTTCCTCATATGACTTGATTGCTTTTGTGGGTGTACATAACTGTAGTTCCTTTGTCTTAAAAACACTTTGAGCTGGACACGGTAAGTGCATGCCTGTAATCCCAGCACTTGGAAGGCTGAGACAGGAGGATTGCTGTAAAAATCAAGGCCAGTCTGAACTACATAGTGAGACCTTATTTCAAAAAGGAAAAAGAGGGCTGGGTATTTAGCTCAGCGGCATAAGCGCCTGCCTTGTAAGCAGGCAGTCATGAGTTTGATCCCTGGTACCGATAAAAACGAAAAAGACAAAAAAAAAAAAAAAAAAGGAAAAAGAAAGAAGAAAAAAGAAGAAAGAGGAGGAAGAAGAAGAAGAAGAAGACGACAACGACGACGACACCTTCAAGCTACAACTGGTATGTTAACACTGATGAAATGGCTTTCAGTTCAATGAATCTTCTTGAAAACTGTTTTCATTTCTTTTTTGGTACCAGGGATCAAACTTACAACCTCATGCTTGACAGGCAGGCATTTATGCTGCTGAGCTAAATCCCCGGTCCTTTGTATCTAGCTTAAAGCCCTGCTCCTATTTTGGTGAAACAGCTTAAAGCCAATCCCATTGTTTAAAAAAAAAAAATTTTAAATTAAAATTAAAAATATTAAAAATAGGAGAAGTAGCTTATTCTCCCGGTCCTCTCCCTTAAACGCTAGTTTTCTTTTTGGACCTGGTCTATAACAGGTGAAGGAGTGGGAAAAACTGTACCCATTATAGGAACCCAGAAAGAGCTGTAGGTTTTCTTGGTTGATATCTTGGGCAATATGCAGTCTGTAGGTTTGAATCAGGTCCAGGTTGGCCTGTAGTTCTTCCTAGAATAAGCAAAAGAAGACACAAAGAAACTTTTTGAAATTATAACTGTTATGTGAACTTTCCTAAAATGACTCTGAGTTCATTCCATCTTCCTGAACACTATTTTCACATCTGCTTTGAAGTATTTCTTCTCTAAAAGCCAATCCTCACTGTCCGTGATGGCAAGGGTAGTGGAGTCTGGTAGCTACTAATCTACTGCTAATTTGAATGGCTAAAATATGTCCATTTGGGGCTGGGGATTTAGCTCAGCGGCGTAAGTGCCTGCCTTGCAACCAGGCAGTCCTGAGTTCGATCCCCGGTACCGATAAAAAGGAAAAAAGACAAAATAAATAAATAAATAAATAAAATAAAATATGTCCATTTGTTTTTGCCTGGTTTGGTACCATATTCCGTGTCAGATGAACGCACCAAATCACCTATTATAAAAAGCTTAGGTCATCTACTTTGTTTTGTTTTGTTGACTATTTCAGGACTGGTGGTTTTTTCTTTTTTCTTTTTCACCTTGAAATAAAAAGGTCATTTACTTTCAACCAGAGTTTCCTTATTTGTGTGTGTACGCTAGTGTGTGTTTCCATTACTGTGGATTCAACTCGAGGCCTTCACACTGAGTTATATCCCCAGGTCTTTTTTTTTTTTTTTTTTAATGAAATAAAATAGAATAAAACAAAACAAAACAAAATAAAATGGAGTGGGGCCAAAGCTCATGCAAAAGCCTTAGGTTCAATACTCAGGAGCACCACTACCAAAAACCAAATCAAACCAAACCAAATGAGCCCCAAAAACCTACAGAGATAACAGAATCACAAATTATCTTATTTGATGTGGGGGACTAATGAATACTTACGATTTGTGCATTATACTATATGTAGGTTATATCTCAATTAAAGCATTATGGAGACATCATAAAAGAATCAGAAAAAAGTGGCTGTCTTTAGGAGGCAGACAATGGGGTAGATTTCAGATTCTTTGTAACAAGCTTTGTTGAATTTCTGTGTTTTAAAATAAATGTGAAATTGTAATTTTTATAAAAATATAGTAAGGGAAAAAAAAGATTATGGGCTTCTGGATTTGGACCTGAAATTCATGTTAATTCCGCCCCCCCACTTTCTTTTTCTTTTTGCAGTGCTAGATAGAACCCAGGGCCTTGTACATGTTATGCAAATGCTCTATCACTGGAGCTACAGCCTCAGTCCTAGACCTGTATTCAAATACCAATTCTACCATTTACTATCTGGATAACAGTGGCAAACTGAACTGCAGAGGGCTCTTGGTTGTCCCTATATTTTACTTTCTTTTTTTAATGGGTACCAGGAATTGAACTCATGATCTTGCACTTGCCAGGCAAGCACTTATGCCACGGAGCCCTGCTGTCCCTATCTTAAACTTAGGCTACGAGTATCAGGAGAAAAATAACAGAGTTAATGGATCTAAAGCATTTATCAAAAGTCTCCAAACTCCCGTGACATAAATAATCAGTTTTTAACAAATGCTCACTTTTTCTCCACTTACCATTTTCCTTCGGGTACATTTAGAACTAACTACACAGACTGTACCTGAGGGCCCATCACTTCGTTTACACTGTTCTGGCTCCAGTCAAGGTACCTCAGCTCTCTGGTCTCACTGCTCACACATTTTATCACTCCTCAGGTCACCTAACTCACTTCTTCTTTTGGAAAATGGACTGGGCTCCCTCAACTACTAGTTGAGTCTCCCTCCTCCATCCAACAGTTACAGAATCTTGACCAGAATCGTGGAAACAATTAGGTTCATGAATCAAGGCACTACAGTTCCCATATGACACTTCTTTTGTTGGGTTTAGTTTCTTCACTAGTTCATGGGTATTGAATAAAATAATCCCTAATTTTCTTTCCAGTAACAACATTTAATAGATTCTCTTTTTCTCCCTCTGAAGTAACTATGAGAAGCCTTTCCCAGGCCCTCTGATGGCTATAAAGATGTTTGCTGTGACATGTGATCTTACCAAACATCAACAGATGGCATATGTCACTTACAAAGGCAGGTGGGGGGAGAGAGGTTTTCTTTCACCTTTCCCAATACCAATAATCATGTGGCCCTGAGTCAGTGCCTCTCCCCTAAGACTGGCCTTTGCAGGGCCACTTGCAGCTCATGCTGCACTGGAAGCATTATCTGCCAGGATTAAGTAAACAACGAGTACTCTTTTACCCGTAGATATAATAAGGCTTGAAATGCACAATAAACCCATCTTTCCTGGTTGCACAGGCACTTACCTGCCCAAAATGATGAGCCAAAATAATGTCCACAATGTTCATTGTCAAGCCAGAGATCTAAAAAGATAAAATTTCTGCATTAAGGTTATACTACATGTAAAAAATTTACCGAAGTGTCTACTTAAGGTGAGTACACTGTATATGTTGTCCCCCACAGAACAAACAAAACCCCACAGTTCAATATTTACACATTTCTATGAGATGTTGCTTTCAAACAAACATGAGAAAAAGAAACAAGTTAAAAAAAAGGAGTCTTCATTCCAGGGTAGTAATAGAGCTTGCTTTAGAAACACAGGGCTGGAGCTGCACAAGGCGGTGTGCAACTACAGTCCCAGCTACTCGGGAGGCTGGAATAGAAGGATTATTTGGACCACAGAGCAAGACTTCATCTCAAAAAACCAAAAACCAAAAACCAAAAGCCAAAGGAAAAAAAAAAGAGGGGCTTTAAAGTTGAGACCTAGAACACAGAGCTATTGGCTACTTCATTTCTGCCTATACATCTGCATTTACAGTAGATAGAGAATAAAAATTAACTTACAACCACTCCCAAGCCACACAAGGGGGAAAAAACCATTTTTTTTCCCCCAGATTTTGCTATCTTTATTTCAAGGAGTGGGAAGAAATGAATATATTTACAGAATGTTCTTCCATTTGAACATTTTTCTTCTAACTCTTCCTACTTTGAAATGATGTATCTCATGGTCTAATAAATGCAACAATCTGTGTAGAACTGCAGACCGTTATACTATTTTTGGAAAAAGTTCCAAACTCAAATTATGTTGCTGCTTCCTCTTAAGCTTCTTCCTGCTGAATTCCCACTTGCACTTGGATCGGAGGTGAAGTACTGGGTTGGGGGTAGCAATAGAGGAGTAGTAGTGAGGGAGGCCCACGTGGGCACAGATAAGGCAGAATCCTACAGCCCCAAAAAGATTAAGGAAGAAAGAAATCTAAATTTAAATCTTTTATTTATTTATTTATTTATTTTTTGGTCTTTTTTTGTTTTTATCGGTACCAGGGATCGAACTCACGACTGCCTGCTTGCAAGGCAGGCGCTTATGCCGCTGAGCTAAATCCCCAGCCCCCGAAATCTTTAAATCTTCACACGGGTTGTTAAGGTTCCATAAGTTTTAAGTTAAAGATAATTAGAATTAAAAACCAAATTCAATCTAGCAAGACTTTGTTTCAAAATAAAATAAAAATAAATCTTTTTAATAAAAAATTTTTAAAAAGAGCTGAGGATGTTGCTTAGTGAGAAGGCCCAGGGTTCAACCCCTAGCACCACAAAAAACCAAACCAAAACAAAAATATCATAAGTAGTTATAAATCTGAACTTTTATCAGGTTGTTACATGTATTAATATACCCATATACCAGACAGAATTTAGAACCAATTTTACATAAAGCACACTATAAGAATTTCCAAAGCAGACTGGGTGTGATGGCACATTCCTGTAATCCCAGCACTTGGGAGGCTGAGGCAGGAGGATTCCTATGAGTTCAAGGTCAATCTGGGATACAATGGTAAGTTTCTAGGCCAGCCTGAACTGCATAATGAAACATATTTTACCAAAAACTAAGGGATGCATCCCTTTGCCAAAACTTAAAAGGTGGAAAAGGATGAACAAAATTTGGAATTTGGTCTGGTGGTAGGTAATTATTTCAAAATAATTAAAAATATATGCTTATTATAGAAAATTAGGCAGAGAATATGAAAAATACATTAATGTGTAATGCTAACAGCCAATGATATAACCATTAATAATATATTATATTCTTTTCTTACGTATATGGATTTAAACAACTTTAGGATCATAATACATGTTTTGTGTCAATTTTTTCACTTAAAATTAGATCTTTCTCATTTCCTTAAATAATATACATATATATTTATTTTGTTTTTGTTTTTTGTTTAAACTAGGGATTGAGCACAGGGGGTACTGAGCTACATCCATCCTCTAAGACAGTCTTAATATGCTGCCCACGCTGGCCTCAAACTTGCAATTCTCCTACCTCAGTCTAAGTAGTGAAGATTATCGGCATGTGCCACTGTAAAAAGCTGTAATATTAAAAAAAAACTTTTTAAAAAATTGTTTTGTGACAGGGCTTTGCTATGTAGTTTAGGCTGGTCTTGAACTCAATATGTAGCCCCAGCTGGCCTCAGCTCGTGGTTATCCTCCTGCCCCAACTCCCAAGTGCTGAGATCACAGGCGTGCACTACCTTGCCTAGCTAACAAAATTTCTTGAAAGTACACTTTTCTCTTCTACAGTTGTATCAAAATTTTATTACCTTGTGACAGTTAAACGGTTTCTATCTTTTTGTCTTATGAACAATCATTTAATGAATTATCTTGGTTCAGAGCAGGGCGTGGTGGCTCATGCCTGTAATCCCAGCACTCGGGAGGCTGAGGTGGGAGGATCATTGCGAGTTTGAGACCAGCCTGGGCTACAAAATGAGCTCAAGGCCAGTCTGAACTGCATAACAAGACCCTGTCTCAAAAAAGACAAAAAAAAAAAAAAAAAAAAAAAAAAAAAGAATTATCTTGGTTCAACGATGTTCTAGCCAAGTAACTTTAAGCAAATGGCTTATGTCTCTATGGGATAACACACAACTTAAATGAGTTACCCTGAGAATGAGAAGTTTAAATATATATAAGAAAGTTAAGGCTGGCAGTGGTGGTGCACATGTATAATCCCAGAACTTGGGAGATTGAAGCAGGAGGACTGCTGCAATTTCAAGGCCAGCCTGGGCGACAAAGTGAGTTCAAGGCCATTCTAAACTACATAGTGAAACCCTGCCTCAAAAAGACCAAAAAAAAAAAAGATTAGTGCCTGGTACACAGTAAGCACAAATGTTCTTTTCAAAACTAATATCCCTCTGTTTAAATCTTTATCACTAGTTTTCAAATACATTTCTCAGATATCAAATCAATGGATCTTATGGGTTTGAGTATAAATCCCTGATACATGTGATATGCTAGGTGGTAGTATTTTAGAGACTCTTTCAATGATAGAACATTAACAGTAACTTAAAAGTATTTAGAGGGCTTAGCTGGTGTGAGGGAGGAAGTTCAGTGGAGGAATGCATGACTAGTATGCATAAGGTTGTGGACGGGAGTGAGGTGAGGAGGGGGTGGTTCTTGCCTAACATGTATAAGGTCCACGGTTGAATCTCCAGCATGAGGAAGAAATGAGCAATCACTGGGCCAGGGATTTAGCTCAGCTGCACAGTGCCTGCCTGGCAAGCATGAGGTCCTGAGTTCAATTCCTAGTCTCCTCACCGAGAAGCTTTATGTTATGAAAACATCCCTGATTTAATCTAAAACTCTGACAGGTTAAAATAACACGTAAATATTTTGTATGTTAAAAAGAAACTATTTCAGAAGCTTTCTTTTTTTCAACCTAGAAATTGAATTATTTTTAGCACAAGTGAGTTAAATACAAAGGAACAGAATATAAAGCTTTATTTCTTATTTTTTTTATTACTGTTTTGTTTTTCTGTACAGTCCTATTTCTTATCTTTTACTCTAGTTTAGTAATTGGATTTGTTTACATTTGTAGTCATTAGCATACTCTTAGTTACCTATCTGCACATATGTTAGAGTTCAAATTCCTGCATTTTTCAGATAGGAAACAAAAATTCACATCTTTGGGAATAGTAATAGAGATGAGTTTATCAGAGTCATTTACTTATTAATCTTTTTATGCCTCATGCTGATTTTTTTTTAAAAAAGGCAAAGAATAAGAAATGAAACAAAAGACTTGAAATAAGTACTTTACAAGAGGGTATTTAAGAGTAGATATTCAATATCACTACTGCTTAGGCAAATGCTAATTAAAACCGAAAGTTATTTACTTGTATAAACATAACTAAAATTTAAAAAATGACACAGAGCTGGGGTTGTAGCTCAGTGAGTTTGCGTAGCATTGGGTTTGATCCCCAGTGCTGCCAAAACAAAAAAGAAAAAAGTGGCACAGCAGTTATTTTAAGAAATACATTTATAAATCAGGCGTGGTGGCTCACGCCTGTAGTCCCGGTCCTCCGGAGCCTGAGGCAGGAGGATCCTTGCGTTCCACACCAGCCTGGGTTACAAAGTGAGCTCAAGGCCAGCCTGAACTACATAGCGAGACCCTGTCTAAAAAAAAAAAAAAAAAAAAAAAAAAAGAGAGAAGAAAAACATTTATATTGGTGATATTTGCCAAATAAAAACAAATTAATATTACAAATAAAACTGCTCATCTTTTACAAAAAGGAAAAGGACAGATGATATGAAATGTTGGTGAAAGACAGATGTGGTGGCGCATGCCTGCAATCCTAGCACTTGGGAGGCTAAGACAGGACTGATGGGAGTTTGAGGCCAATGTAGGCTACAAAGTGACTTTCAGGTCAGCTTGAACTGCGTAGTGAAACTTCATCTCAAAAAAGTTTAAGAAAAAAATATTGGTGATAGTGTAAGCTGAAACTTGCATATGCTGCTGGTGTGTAAATTGGCCAAATATTTTGGAAACTGGCAATATCTACACTAAAGTAAATATACAACTGCCCTATGAGGCAGCAATTTCAATTGTAGATATGTCTACTGAAAAACATATATGTCTATCTGTATCTTGAAAGACAAAAGAATATGTATGGTAGCTAGATTCATCACAACCAAATAACAGAAATTCACTGTGGGTATTTGCGTATACGTATATCCACATATCTATATCTGTATATGGTAGTGGGGAACCCAGGGAGCACTAAGATACATCCCAAATCCTTTTTATTTTGAAACATGGTCTCGCTAAGTTGCCCAGACTGGGCTAGAGCCTGCAATTCTCCTTTGTCAGCCTATTGAGCAGACAGGATTATAGTTATGCAACAACATGCCCAACCCCAAAATGTAATTTGCAGGTAAAATATTAAAAATCAATGAAAAATTACTACTGGTCAGGTGTGGTGGTGCACACGTGTAATCTCAGTACTCAGGAGGCTGAGGCAGGATTCCATCCAAGTTCAAGGCCAATTTGGACTACATGGTGAGACACTGTCCAAAAAAACTGTAAAACAAAACTACTGCTACACCATACAACATGAATATTAATCACAATAATAAGTGAAAGAGACCACATTCAAAAGAAAATATTATGATTCTAATTACATGACATTTAAGAACAGAAGGCTAAACTAAGAAAAGGTACATGGAAACCTTTTGGAGTACTGGAAATAATCTATATATTGATAAGGTAATGATTATATATGTTAACATTCAGCAAGTCATACTTAAAATGCTTCACCATTAACCCAATGAATGACCCAATGATCTACCCCAATGAAAAGTAAAGTTCCTCTGTTCTCAGAAGGAAGCAAGGGACTACTCAATGGATACTTGCACATGGTACTTACTTTGGAAGCTGCCCAGTCAATCCAACCTTTAGCGCATGGGTCAATGTTAATGAGTACAAGGCCTTCCACAAGTTCTGGATGACTGAGCTGAAAGATGAGACACAGACAACAGTATGAAAGTTACACTCCCACAGTTCTAACACAGCCGGGATATGGTTAGGTGATTTATACAAGGCTTCGTTTCTCACATCTGAAAGACTACAGAGGTGCTAAGAAGAATATGTAGAAAATAGCTCTTGAAATCTGACTTAGCATCTGGAAACTAGTTTCTTAAGCTGCTAGAAAATTATGTTGCCTTGTGCACATTTATAAGGAAGAAAAGTTTCTTCTTTTTATAGCAGAGGAGAGCATACATACTGCAGTTGTTCATTTTCACTTCCCACAGGGGCTGCTCAAGCTTAAAATGGGCTGTTGCACATTCCTAGGTCTTTGTTCCTAACAATGGCTTTTACAGTTTTTTTCTAAAACCATCTAAATAGGTGATGCCACTTCCAAAAGACACTCCTATAACCAAAGCAGGCTTTTCAAAAAATAGGAACATTTCCATGTAAACTCAAAACTCTCCAGCTTCCTTTTTGTCTCTGATTAGGTTTACTGTTGAGTCTGACAAAGAAATTATAAAGAAGAAAGTGAGTAAAATCTCACATTATTCTATCACAGACCTAGTTTGTTTGTTTGTTTATAAACAGGGTCTTGTGTAATTCAGGCAGTCCTCCTGCCTCAGCCTCCTGGGCGCTGGAATTACAGGTATATACCCCCATGCCTGGCTTATTTTTGTTTTGTTTTGTTCTGTAGTACTGGGGATTGGACATGGAGTGCTCTACCACTGAGCTACATCCCTAGTCCTTTCCCTTTTTTTATTTTGAGACAAGGTCCTGTTAAGTTGCCCAGAGTGATCTTGAATTTGATATCCTTCTGCCTCAGATTCCCTAGAAGCTGAAACTGCAGGCATGTGCCATCATGCCCAGCCCTTGTTACATTCTGGTACATTTCCTTTCAGCTCTTTCCCATCCCTATTACAAACTTTATATGAGTCTATTTATATTCTTTCTTTCTTATATTATAGTGTATGTAAATTGTGTCATTACAAGTTTGTACAATTTAAACAGCTACATAAAAGTCCATCATAAGCTGCATCTAGATCTTTTAAAGACAGCACTGCCCTCATTTGTGATGTTTCAAATGCTGTGCAAAGACAAGTCTTTATATAAACCTGTATCTGAAGCAACAGAATCTACACAAAAACAATTAAGACCCAAAGAGTACCTAGTCATTTAACCCAACAGTAACAGCAGTGACCCAAGCAGTGCTTCAAGGGTGAGATTAATTCTCCATGCACTTACTGCAAATCTGCTGAGGATGTAAGCTCCAGCTCCAACTCCAATCCCGATGATGCTCTTCAGACTGTGAACAGCAAAGTCCAACAACTGACATAAGTCAATGTCATTTGAAAACAAGAATACAACCAGTTTCATATCCTGGCTGACATTCACCAGATTTAAGAAGCTGAGAAAGTTTCTTTTTTTTTTTTTTTTAAGATGAGGGCTATGTTGTCCAGGATGGTCTTAAACATTTAGGCTCAAGTAACCTTAGCCTTTCGAGGAGCTAAAGGTCGGGGAGGCTTTTTTTTTTTAAGCTTTCTGAGCTTTAGTTCCATATATATACATACATGAGGATATAACTAACTATTTTCAAATTCATTTTAATGATTAAATAAATTATGACTGAAATCATAGTAGTCATCCTGTTTTTCAATTCAGTATCCAACTCACCAGCAAACTCTGTAAAGTCTACCACTAGAATATTTCTATTTATTAACATCCACTTCAATCCTTCCCGGACAGCTGCCAATACTAAGCTACCATTATCTCTTGCGTGGATACTCTAGTAGTTTAACTGGTTTCCTTGCATTTTCCCTCTGACTATTTTCTAAACCATCACATCAAGATAATCATTTTTTAAAAATTCATTGTTATTGATATACAGTTTATATTTCTAAAGTGATTATTTTAAAAGAGTAAATTATATAATTACTCCTCTGATTAAAATCCTCCAGTGTCTTTCCTTTATACCTAACATAACTACAAATTCTTATCTGCTCTATTAGACTGATGTAATCTGGACGTTGTCTATTTCTGAAATTTCACTCATTCCTCTGTTCCACTTGTTCTTATTCTAGCCTGGAATCTTTTTGTCCTGACTCTACCTAGGTTGTTCCCTGCTATCTTCCAGGTCTCAGCCTACATGATACTATCCTAAACACACACTCCCTAACCAGTCTTAGTTATGAATATCCTTTCATTTTCTCTATCACAAACACTCCACTGACTCCTTTTGTTGTTTTGATGCAGGAAATGAATCTAGAGTCGGGCATGTTAAGAGCTCTACCAGAGCTATAACTCGCGCCCTAATGCTTTTATGGTGCTTTATTGTGACTGTTGCTTACCTGTTAACCATTCCCTCCCCACTCCTCTACTAGGTTCCACTAGGTTACTGAATATTCTAGTTTGCTCATCATTTATCCACTGGAACAGAAACACAAAAACTGAAGGGCTGGGGGTATGGTTCAACAGTAAAGTATTTGCTTTGCTTGCAGGAGGCCCTGAGTTTGATCCTCAGCACCATGAGGAAAAGAAAAAAAAAAAAAAGGAAGACTGTAGAATGGATCTACCTTAAGTGGGTAAGAACAGGAGGCAGCATTTCAGCCAGCTCGTCCATTGTAGGGTACTGGTACCTGAAATTCAAAAAGATACTTCCTGAATTAGAAAACACCCACAATTGCCAGTCTGAGAAATATTTCTTTTACCAAAGGCTCAAAGGAGGTATTGTGGTGCCTGGAAGTGAGTGTGGCATGCTTCCATGACTGCCATGTTAAAAGGAAGGTAGAAAAACCCATGTGACAGAGAAAGTTACATGACGAACTAGTAATGTGGTCCTCTCTTGTAATGTTTCCAAACCCCTAATAGTCATTTCAGTTGGGATCTAGGCTCAGTAAACTTCCGGCAGAAGTCAGCTCAGGAAGCAGATCTTCTTACACTGCTAATACTTGGGCAGTTAAATGCCACAGTAAACAAAACTCTCCTGGGTCTAAGCACACAGTTACAGGTCTTGGGCTCCTCAGCATAAATGCTTATATTTGTTTCACTTAAGTATAAGATGATGTTATTTTGTTAACTGCTTTTTGTGTTATGACTCAGCTAATGCTAAAATCATCCAGAAATACATCCAAAGCAGGAATCCACAAAAAGTGGGAAGCAGACAGAGATGCCAGAATCAGAGATGGGATCTTTAGATGACTTCCTATGTATGACACAGGATGTTTTCTATAAACAACAAGGAATTCAGGTTGCCCATACCTGGCCACTTTAAGGGATGAATTGTCCTTTACTTTTGCCCCAAATAGAAAAAGGAACTGAATCCAAATCTGGTTGGATATCAAATGATCACTGGCTAATACAATATGCATTTGAGAGGTAGACAGAACATGGAAACTAGTCAACAATGATCTGGAGCGCTACTGCCTGGGTTAAAAACCTGACTGTGCTACTTACTTGCTACACAACCTTAGTCATGTTCCTAGTTTTTCTGGGCCTCAGTTTCCTCACCTGCAAAATGAGAACAGGAGTAAACCTATCCCCTGAGGTTGAGAGGATTGAGTTGATAGATGCAGACCATTTAAAGCAGTGTCTGGAACACTATTTAGTCTAATTGCTAACCATTACTTTTCTGCAAAGACTCTTTCACAGTAGTCCCTGGCTAAAAACAGCTCTGGAAATCAGCGGGAGAAATGAAGAAGGAGCAATCCAGAGGGTGTGCTCTCACTCGACTTTCCAAGGCCTTCTTAGCAGGCACACTGTCCAGGGAACTCCTGAAAGCCTGAGACTGCCATGCAAAGCAGCTTATGAAGAACTAGAGTGTGAGGCCAGACAGAGGGCAGCTCTCAGAATAAACAGCTGCACAGATATCAAATTCCTATCACTAGATTAGGAGGAAAGGATGGGAAATGTTCCCAGGGAAGCTCAAAGTGATTTAGGTTTGGCCCTATGTAGTTGGAAGTTTCTGGAAGGGATGCAAAAATGACAGACTAAAAACAGACAAGAGGCCAGATAAAAGACTGACAAGTGACATTTATTCCTGTGATCACAAGGAGTCAGGTCTGTGCCAAAGAAAGCCACTCCCCGATACGGGAAAACATGCAGTTACTCCCAACAAATAGTACACAACAGTCCTCTGATACTAAGGAAAGAAAACAGGAGGTCAGTGGGCTGATGAGTCTAACCTGTGGCTGTGAGCAATCAAGTGGGAGGGAAGCATAAGCTACTGCCCCCACTAGAGCTCAGTCGCTGCTTTTCTGAGTGCCTGTCTCCCACAGCTTTGCCTGGGGCCTCACCCGGTTGGGAAAGAAGGTGCACCTTCCTGCTGCCCCGGGGCATCCACGTGACACACAGCGAAATGCTGAGTGATCTCTTGCATATCTTCAAAGTTGAAGAATGTGTTGAAACAGGATTTATCTGTAAGATAAAAATACCCGTGAGCCCTAGGCTCTCCATTTCTCTCCAATTTTCATCTACCCAGCCAGTGCTATGTCATTTTTCTTTTCACTTCCTTTTAATCACCATTTCACTGAAGTGAGGTGTCTGAAGGATCAGTCTCATCCAAGTTCCCCTAAAGGCTGAAGAAGAGTTCTCTCAATGACTTGAAAACAACTAATCCTTAATTCTGCACAGTGTCTCCAAAGTAGAATCACTTTGTGCATGTCTATTGGTTTTACGATGTTCTGTCGTTTCTCATATGCCTTATTCTTAGGTCGAATAAAGAAACACTGACCATACTCCAAGCACTTGGCTGCAGTGAACACTCTGAGAAGCTTATCTTTTATTTTTTTTTTCAGTAAAAAGAGAATATTTTACTTCTTGGATTTTATGTATGTTCAATAATGTGAAATCTTTGCTGTTTAATGAACACTGGGTGGAACCCCTGAGAAGCTTATCTTGTTCAAACTGTCAGGGTGCAGGAAGGGGCTGCTGCTTGTTTTTACCCTTAGCATAACAGCTTAAATCACTTTTCATGCTAAGACAGCTACAAAAGTTCTAACTCTGTAATTGCAGACACCTCTGAAAGCCAGAGTTAGGTGAAAAAATATTCAAACTCTGTCTGTGGCTAAAGCTGAGTATTTTACTACTGGTAAATACTCTTCTCCCAAATGCTTCAGATCAGAAATATTTTTTGAACTCTGGTACAGATGCATTACATAATGAAGTATCTTGGAGATGGGACCCAGGTCCAAAGATGAAATTCACTTATGTTTCATATATATCTAATGCATACAGCATGAAGATAACTGTAATATTCAATATTTTTGGTTCCCTTAATGTTGACTGTGACCTGTTCCATGAGGTTAGGGGTACAATTTTCCATTTAGGGCACTATGTTTTTCTTTTCTTTTTCAAATCTATTTTATTTCAATGAGAAAAAAAATTTCAAAACACATCAATCAGGAGCAACAATGTTACATACCACTGCACACTGTCATCCCCAAATCAGTCACCAGAGCACAAAACATGGGCATTCAATTGTCTGAACACAAATATTTCTCTTCGATAAACTCAGAGAAATCAATAGTATAACTATCTTAACTATTTTTAATGTACACACACACACACAAACACACACACACTCTCACACACACATACATAATGTTGTTTCTTTCAGCTTCTCACACTAGCGAGACAATCTGATGTTTACACACGCTTGTCTGGTTAATTTTACTTATGATTAAGGTCTCAAGTTGTAACCATTTACCTATAAAGTCTCCAGTGTATCCTTCTTTATGGCTGAGTAGTACTCCATTGTATAAAAATACATCTTTTTTATCCATTCCTCAGTGGATGGGCATTTAGGTTGTTTCTGAGATCTGGCTATTACAAACTGTTCTGCTATAAACATGGGGCACCATGTTTTCAAATCATTTCCGATTTTGGATCATTTTATATTTCAAGTATTTAGATTAGGAATGCTCTACGGCTAAAAAAGTTCACTTATTAGTGAGGAAAGGGTACAGAAAGAATACTTTTACTGATTCACTGAAGTGCTCAGAACAAAGTTAAGTTCAACTCTTGAATTTTCTTTTTTTTTTTTTTCCTATTATCCTGTTTTGAAAAACTCTAAATTTTCTAACCTGAAACATGGAGGAAAAAAAGCGCCAGAGTACATACTTTAAAAAAACTGACTTCAGCTCTATTTTCTCAATCAATTCATCATATAATCCTGCTGTCCTTTAGCAGGTATGACACAAAAGCAAGATATAATTCCATTATCCCAACATACTTTAACCCTGAAATTAACAAATGTAGCAATAAGGAGTAAAGGTAAACACAGAGAGGGGGAAATCTCTGCTCTATTAAATACTATATATATTTTTAACGAGAAAAGTATTGGGATAAACTGGGAAGATGTAATATCAAATACATACGATTGAGTCCAATGTCATGATATGTTAGGATAACCGGTCTATTTCCCTTCGGTAAGCCTCTTATCGTGACATGGACCACACCATGAGTTGTTTCTATATCATGTTCCTGTAAGAGAGTATAAAAGTTCAGCAAAGGCAGAATGAACTTTCCAGATTGCTAAAGTTTCATAATACCTGCTTCATTGCTATTTTTTACTCTTTGGGCCAGGGTACATTAATGAACTATAAGCATATTATATCTAATATTCACATTTTCTATTCTTTTCTGATTAGATAATAGAAAAATAAACTGATCAAGAGGAAAATACACCTTGCCAAACCTAAAAGCTCACTTAGGAGTCTAGGAAGTCAGGGATCTGTTAAGAATACTTCTGCAATTGAATATGAGAAGGAGATCAGCAAGCTGGATAAGGAGCCAGATAATGCTTGGAAGACAAAAGAAACTGCTGGGTTAAGAAAAGCAGTTTAAAGCTTCTGAGCATATGTTCAGCTACAGATAATTTGAGGAGACACCTGTGGATATGTGTACGTAAGACTTTTCTCCTTTCCTGGCTTCTATCATTCTGTACTATCCATATATTATAGGAGCTCCTGCCTGCCATATGTGTAGAACACAATCTTTTGGCCATGGCTATCTGGAAGCAGGAAAGCATCTGGCCTTGCTGGGTCAGCATCTTCACCTAAGAAATTTTTTTTTTCTCCTAAGAATTTGTAATTGGTCAGCATACATTTTGGGGGTGTAAGGCTGGGTCTAAGAGATTCCATCCTTAGCTTGGTTCTTCCCTTGAAAAGAGAAGTAAATTGGGAGTTTTCATTACTCTAACTCTTGGGCCTAGCTCTGCATGCTCTTAAGGTTCTGAGACATCCCTGGGTTGAATCTTTTTTTTTTTTTTTTTTTGGTACCAGGGATTGAAGTCATGACCTTGCGCTTGCCAGGCAGGCACTTACGTCACTGAGCTAAATCCCCAGCCCCCTGGATTGAATCTTGTTCAAGCTAAGTAGAGTAGATTTATTCCCTATACTCCAAAGGATTGTAATTAAGGTAATAAGTCTCTTTTTTTAAGACAGGGTCTTGATATGTAATTCAGACTGACCTTAAACTCACTATGTAGCCCAGGCTGACCTCAAACAGACAATCCTCCTGCCTCAGCCTCCCAAGTGTTGGGATTATGGTTTGGCAAGTTTAAAATGTAGTCAGAGCAAGGCTCAGGAACTGAACAAGGACAGAAAAGGATATAATAGGTGCTGCCGGGAGTGGCTGCTGCACTACGTGAGGGAATAAAAAAGAAAGGGATTGCAGAAATGTTAACTGAGATTTGGTTTGTTCCTCTTCAACTTTTATATTTTTCTTTGTTTCTTCCTTTCTTTCTTTCTTTTTTGGTGGTACTGAGGATTGTATTTAGGGCCTTGTGCATGCTAGGTAAGTAAGTTTTACATTTCTCAAAAGTTAAAAATTAATTTGTCCTCATGAATTGGTATATAATCTGCCTTAATCTGCATAAATCTGCATATTTGTTCATAAAATCTGCATATTTCTCAAAAAACACATTAGATGAGACAAGATTAACTGTCAATCAGAATCTCAATAAAGGCAAAGGGTGTCAATTTAATTTCCTATCTAATATATAATATAATACATAATATATATGTTTATATTATATACTATATAATAAAAAACTAATAATAAAGATATAAAGTTCAGTAATCAGTCAAGAAAGTACAAATTACATTCAGTTAAAAAAGTAAAAATTACATTCAATGAGATGCTATTTCACATACACTAGAACATAGAAAAGTAAGAATTCACACATAAAATTTTGGTAGGTATGTAAACTGGAACAACCATCTTGGTGAATAATTTGGTAATTTCTAGTGACGTCGATAAGTGCTTATCAGGGGTCGGGGATATAGCTCAGTGGCATAAGCACCTGCTTGGCAAGTGCAAGGTCCTGAGTTTGTGTCCTGATACCTAAATAAATAAATAGATATGTGCTTATCAGGCTAGGGGTGTAGTTCAGTGGTATAGTACTTGCCTAGTATGTGTGAGGGCCCCTGGGTTTAACCCCTAGCACTGCTGCCAAATAAAAATGCCAGGGGTGCTGGTGCATGCTTGTATTCTCAGCACTTGGGAGACTAAGGCAGGAGGATCTAATTTGAGGGCAGCTTGGGCTCCACAGTGAGTTCAAGACCAGCCTGGACTACACAGCAAGACCCTTTCTCAAAAAACCAGAAAAAAAATTCTACCTTATAGCAATTTTACCTAAAGAAATTCTCAGGCCAGGGATCCAGCTCAGCAGCATAGTGCCTGCCTAGCAAGTTGATTCCCAGCACAAAAAAAAAAAAAAAAAAGGAAAGGGAAATTCTCAAATATGGTTACACACAACACACAGAAACACATGGACAGAGATGTATATTTTAAAAAGTTGGCTTTTTTTTTTTTCTTTTTCCTTTTTATTGGTACCAGGGATCGAACTTACGGCTGCCTGCTTGCAAGGCAGGCACTTATGCCGCTGAGCTAAATTCCCAGCCCTATTAAAAAAGTTGGAAAACAGCTCACGTATTCATCAGTAGGGAAACTGATAGTATGATTCTTCACGTAATAAAGATAAAAATGAACAAATTAGGAGTATAAGTATTAACACAGAAAAGCTTGAAAATAATATAGTGCTAAATAACAGCAATATGCAGGAGGTTGTGTATGTGATTATCACAGATATTTTCAAAAGCAACATTGTAGACCATATGTACATATTCACACAAAGTGTGAAATGCTGGGAGAAGGGATAGACATCAACTTCAGGACTTGGTTTTCCTTCTGAGAGGGCACAGATTCTGAAAGAAAACTCAAGATGGCTTCCCTGTCTCTCAGACCTGTCTCCTGACGTAATAGGGGGAAAGGGAGAAGCTCATGCCACAGAAATTGATGATTCTGGAGAATTCAAATTTCCCACAGAGCAACCAACAACTTGTTACCCTGACAATACACCCCTAGAGCTCTCTCCTTTGGTCACACCCAAACCTTTCATGCAGTCCTGCTTTTAAATATTCTAGTATGGACTTAGCTGTGCCACTGAGAACTGAAAAGAACATGAGTTTATACCATGGCCTCAAACAGAGGACCTCCCAGGGCCAGGTAGTTAACGCCTGTTACGCTTGTTTGTGTGTGTGTGTGTGTGTGTGTGTGTGTGTGTGCGTGTGTCTGTGTACAGGAAGGCGGTGAGGACAGTGTGCCATCAGGGAAGGTAAAGAGGAAGACGATGGAAACAAAGGGACGTAGGATAGATGAGGTAAAGAGAAACCTTCTAACGTAGGTAAGGAATGCCAGCACTCTGGGAGGCTAAGGCAGAAGGATCACTAGTTTGAGCCCAGCTTGGGCACTAAAACTCTGTTTCAGAATTTAAAATAAGTAAATAAATACAAATTTAAAAGGGGGGTGGTTCTGGGGATGTAGTCCCATATAAAAACCCTGGAAACAAGGAGAAAAGAAGAAAAAAGAAAAGAAAGTTAGACTGGAAAAGCAATTATTTGTCATTATTAATAATCTGGATGAAATGAGAGTTAAAATTGGCTCCTTACAAAAATCTCAAGTTTTTATTTAGAGAGATTTCATTCTCTACCTCCACATGGTACGCCTTCAATCATGTAACACAAACAGACCAAAGAGCCACAGGCCTTAGACACCATTTATTACCTCTGAAGCCTTGGCTAGTTGTCGACATAAAGTTCCTCTCCATTTTCAAAGTACATGAGCGCAAATGTTCCGAGCAGAATAAAGAATGAAGCGCAAGGAGGTACTCACCCTTGCAAGGACTGGTGTACACATCCTTCAGAATTATATATATGAATGGCTTGAAATAAACTACCTCTGAGGATGAGGTGAGGAAACCCTGGCCAGCTCAAAGCTCAGGCCCCTTGAGGGAACCAGAGAGCTGCTACCATCGTCCTGCCTTGGTCACCTACCATCTGCCTGACAGGCTCCTCCTCCGCTTTCAGCATTCTGACCCCAACATTCCAGACTGAGATCTCACAATGAGAATGTGTGCTCAAGAGGCACAACCCAGTGTGGTACCTCACTGGCTCTGGATACCATAGGGCTGTGCACTGTGTGAATATGATTCCTTTACTCTTCAAGCTTAAAAAAACTGAAATCATACAGGTCCCTGACATACTGCTCACTCCTGAACTGCCTCTTCCTCTCAATGAAAGATGCAGAGTCTTAATCAGAGTTTTTAAAGAATGTACAGTTTAGGGGGCATGGTGGCACATGCCTTAATCCCAGTACATGGGAGGCAGCTGAAGGTTGATCAGTGCCACTTTGGGGCCAGCCAGGGCTACATCTAGACCCTGTTTTAACAGCAAAAGTAGAAGACCCAGTGGCTAATCCCTAGTACTGTAGGGGGGATACTGTAATTATTAAGAAACAATTTTTACCACTTTCTTCAGTCCTCCCCTTTAACTGTGTCATTACTAACACAACACATTTCAGTGTCCTTTATCTCTAAACTCTGTTACATTATCATTCTATAGCTGTTACTACTTCTTCCCTTCACCAGCCAGTCTAAAATAATTTAGGTAAATGTGTAAGATAGCAGACTCTAAGAAGTATAAAAAATTCTACTAATGTGTAATTTCATTGTTTCTCATAGTGGGCAGGGTATAGTATGAATCTATGGTATAGTTTTCATTATTTTTGTAGATTTTTTTTAGACAAGGTCTCACTGTGTAATTCAGGCTTGCCTTGAGTTCATTCACTACATAGTCCAGGCTAGCTTCAAACCTCCTGATTCAGCCTCTCAAGTGCTGGGATTACAGGTGTGCACCGCACATCTAGCACTACTTTTCAATATTATGTAAGAATCTTTTTTTTTTTTTTTTTTTTTTTTTTTTAGTTTTGGAAATCAAACCCAAGACCTTTCACATGCTAGCAAAGCACTGAACTACACTTGAGGGCAATGTATAGAATTTTTGATATAGGCCAGGAATTTAGCTCAGTGGGGCAAGTGCCTGCCTGACAAGCACAAGGCCATGAGTTCTATCCCTGGTACCAAAAAAAATTTTTTTTGATATATTATCAATCAATAATAAATACTTTGCCCAATGTAGAAGCAAAAGTTCATTGGCATAATCTCACTTAAATCTCATAGTAAAAGAATTCACTAATTACTCAGCTTTCTGCCTATCAAATCACATTTCGCTTTTTCAAGTTTTATAATACTGAATGTACTCTCAACTTTCTCCTATCTTAGCTCTTACAAAATCTTATAGCCTAGATCAATCAACACTTTGATTTGCTTTTATTTTTCAACAACCACAACTCTCAGCCTTCTTACAAATTTTCACTTGAAAACTCTTGTTTCAATATTTAACTTAAAATTTGTCTTTTCCTCTTTCAAAACCAACTCTAGTACCTTCTTTACATAGCTTCAGTTAACAATAAGGAGAAAAAGAGTGATTATTCAACTCAGAACACTCTCAGGCCAGTGAGCACTTCAGTGGCGTGCATCTGACCCACACATAGACAAGTGAGCTCTGCTCAACCGATGAGAGTATTCCCTTGGGCTTCCCCTAGAGTTAGGCAAAGATTTCTTACAAGGCGGCTGCTAAGCTGCAATGATGTGAGTTTTGAGTAGAGGGCAACCATTAGTAATGCAATGTGACAGAGGCTTTTGCAAGAGTAAACTCTAGTTACAGGGAAAAAGGAGCAGAGGTTAGGGATGGTGAAAAATAAGGAAAACTTTGGATACAAGATTCTTTGTTTCTCTCTAAATGAGAACAAAGTCTCCTATATCCTTAGAACTTAATGAAAACTACATTGTGAGGCTCTGATTTTTATCATTTAAAAAAAAAGGAAAGAAAAGATTTCAAGGGGAAGAACTGTGTACAAAGGCCGTCAATGAGAAATTAAAAGTACAAAACCGAAGTCAGGAGCAGGTCACCAACAACTTCCATTCTCGGGGAGGGAGCCACATAAAGAGGATATAGGATATGAGCTAGAGGGTAGCCTGGGGCCATACTTCTGCCAGCCTTGAAGATCAGAGGAGAGCCCAAAATTGATTCAGGCCCACTAACATTGAAACAGGTGACTGGTTGGACCCTAGCTCTCTCCCAAATACTTCTCTGTTGGAGGAACTTTCAGGAGAGCCATTTTACCTTACTTTCACTTTCTAAAAATGCCTATTCACAAAGTGATTTGAAAGGGCTTAAAGCTGTTTAAATTCCATTGACGCAACAGTCATACATTTGAAATGTGGTATGAAAGACCAGCCCTCACATCTATAAATCCATCCTCTGAAGAGCAACTGCAACTGAAGAGCCAGCATGAAATTATTCAGCCTTATTCTAGGATCAAGGACATCATCCATTACCAGGCTCTTCTATGGGAATGATATATTCTATCAGACAGCAGCTTTTAAAATCCGTTATAAGAGCCCAGTGTGATGGCACATGCCCATAATCCCAACTCTGGAGGTTGAGGATCATTGCAAATTCCACACTAGGGCTACAAAGTGAGTTCAAGGCCAGCCTGAACTGCATAGTGAGATCTTGACTCAAAAGACAAAAATAAATAAATAAATAAATAAATAAATAAAATCTATCATAATATTCAGGTGGAAGAGGAAGACAATGTGCCAAGATAAATCAAAAGCCTTAAATACACTTCTTCCAAGGACCATCTAAAAGGCTGGGAATTTAGCTCAGTGGTATAAGCACCTGCCTGGCAAGTGTGAGGTTGTGAGTTTGATCCCTGGTATCAAAAAAAAAAAAAAAAAAAAAAAAAAAAAAAATCACCAAGGACCATCTAAGGAAAAAATACAGATAAAATTTATGTATGACAATGTTCAGTGACTTGAATGTATAATAAGACTGCAATCCTAGCACTCTAGGAGGCTGAGGCAGGAGGACTGCAAGTCAAGAGTCCAACCTGGCCTACTTAGCAAGCACTCTAGGAGGCTGAGGCAGGAGGACTGCAAGTCAAGAGTCCAACCTGGCCTACTTAGCAAGATCTTGTCTCAAACCAAATCAAACTTAACGCTGGGAATATAGCTCAATGTAAAAGCCCTGGGTTCAATCTCCAGTACTTCATGGGAGAGGGGAGAAAAGAAAAATTTTAAAATAATGGTACAGCCAGTCAGTCATGGTGGCGCATGCCTGTAATCCCAGCACTTGGAAGGCTGAGGCAGGAGAATCTTTGTGAGTTTGAAACCAGCCTGGGCTACAAAGCTCAAGGCCAGCCTGAACTGTGAGACCCTGTCTCAAAAAGACCAAAAAAAAAAAAAAAAAAAAAGGTACAGTTAAGTCATGGTATTGCCATATGATGAAATAATAGGCATTCATTAAGTATTATTTTTGTGGGTTTTTTTGAACCCAAAATCAAACTCAGGATCTTGCACTTGCCAGGCAGGTGCCATGCTGCTGAGCTATATCCCCGGCCCCTATTTTTATGTGTTTTTAAATGACATGGAAATAAGATTGGGTTGTAATATTAAATCAGAAAAGGGAATACAAAATATACATCTCATAAAGCAGCTTTATAAATAAAACTGCATTTTAATAAATGTTTTATTTTTTTCTTTTTGCGTTTTTTTTTTTTTGGTCTTTTTTGTTTTTATCAGTACCAGGGATCGAACTCACGACTGCCTGCTTGCAAGGCAGGCGCTTATGCCGCTGAGCTAAATCCCCAGCCCCTTATTTTTGTCTTTTTGAGAGAGGGTTTCACTATGCAGTTCTGGCTGGTCTTGAACTCACTGTGGAGCCTAGACTGGCTTCAAACTCAAAGTGATCCTCCTGCCTCAGCACCCCAAGTGGTTGGTGTTGCTGGCATGCACCTCAATGCCTAGCTTTAATAAAAGAATTTCAAACTAAATACATATATCAACATACTAACATGGTGGACTCTGGGTTACAGGACTATGAATTTTCTCTAGCTACTTTATAATTCTCTATGCTTACCAAATATTCAGTATACACTCTCGATAACCAGAACGAGAAAGTAAAAACTGGAAATAAAAATGTTTATCTTTAGGTAGCAGAGTTATAGGGAACCTTTATTTTTATGCTTTTCTGATATTTTTATGCTTTTTTTTTCAGTCACAAAGTGTTACTATTTGTTTCTTTGTTTGGTAGCAGGGATTAAACCCAGTCTCTACTGTTGAGCTATGTCCCCAGTCCAATGCAAATATTTCTTAGAGGAATATATTATAATTACAGAAATGCTACAGCATGTGCCCAAGTTCTAATTTCAAACTTCTAAGCAGTCTCACGAGGAAAGGAATAGCCTACTATACTTAACACAGAATGCGTTATTTGAAAATAACTATTTGTCTGCAGTTGTTCAGGATGGCTGAATATTGGAAGCAAGAAATTTGGTTTCCAGCACTCTCCTCTCCTGCTTGTCCTGAGTCTACTTCATGCCACTGCCATGGCATCTTGTTTTTTTTTTTTTTTTTTTTTTGTCTTTTTGCTTTTTATGGGTACTGGGGATCGAACTCACGATTGCCTGCTTGCAAGGCAGGCGCTTATGTCGCTGAGCTAAATCCCCAGCCCCTGCCATGACATCTTAACCCAAAGTGGGAAGGCCAAACTGCCTAAATTTACATGGTTCCCATATCCATATGTTCATTCCTTTTTTTTTTTTTTTTTTGAGACAAGGTCTCACTTTGTAGTTCAGGCTAACCTTGAACTCACTATGTAGCCTCAGGCTAATCTCAAACTTCTGAGTGCTAAGATTACAGTCATGTGCCACAATACCTGGGTCTTCCCATTTCTTTCGGGACCAGTTAATAGATAACTGAATAGAGAATTCCTGGTTTATTTTATTGATTTTCAAAATGGCTATAGAGTTACAAGCAAAAGTGGATTAGGAAGAACAGTATCACTTAAGAAGATACTAATGAGCCAGGTTGAATTTTATATTTCCAAACACAAAGGCAAGAAAAATATTTTCCTGTTGAGAAGTTTACCTCCAAACTCTCTAGCCTCATTTGGGCATGATGGCACACCTCTGTAATCCCAACACTTGGGAGACTGAGGCAGGAGGCTTGCTGTGAGTCCCAAGCCAGAACTCTGTCTCCAGGCCCTGTCTCGAAAACAGAAACAACCAACTATCCATTCTCTACCTTCTCTGTAGTCGTGGCAACCTTCCACCTGCAAGTCGTGACAAATGAGATTTCCAAATTCATTTAAGGAAAGAAAATAGGGGAAGGGCAGATTAGGGCACTGGAGATCAAACCGAGAAACTCTGCACTGAGCTGTATTCCCAGTGCTTTCTAAATTTTTTTTTTTTTTTTAAATTTTGAGATAGGGTCTTGCTAAATTGCCTAAGTGGGGCTTCAAGTTGTGATCTTCCTGCCTTAGCTTTCCAGAGTGCCAGAATTAGAGGTGTATGCCAATGTACTTGGCTCCTAGTCCACTTATTAAATTCTTATTTTGAGATGATGTCTTGATAAGTTGACCAGGCTGGGTTCAAACTTGTGATCCTCCTGCCATAGCCTCCTGGAGCACTGAGATTACAAAGAAGCAACACCATGTCTGGCAAGGAAATGAGACCTTAATAAAAAAAAAAGACAACTCAACCTACTCATCTATAGTCATAAAGCAGGTACCAGGCAATTTTTCAACATGAGAACAAATCATTTTAAATAAATCAAAACAACACTAAGGAGTCATGATTAGCTATGGTAAGAGATCCACTTCTACAAGACTCCCACTACATCTCTGCAGAGATCCTGTACAGAGGAGCCCCTTTGGTGTTTGTACAGTCCTTACCTGACAGTCAAAGTCCTGGAAGTTTCGTGTCCCATTCTGTCAACAGAAGGCAGAAAACACAGTCAGTTGCCCTGTGTGGTTTTCCCAAATTTGCAGCAAATTCATTTCACAGTGAAGCAGTGCAGGCGCAACCTCTTGATTGCCATTAAACTACAATCATTCTCAAAAGGCTTCCGAGGCAGAATGAGTTACTGACATGTTAATACAGGCTACATCATCAGAGGTGAGATTACACTCTGGTGGGCTTCATTTGAAAATAAAGGGAGGGAACCTAGTATCTTAAGAAAGCTTGTATCTTTGAACCTCCCTACTGAAGGAGAACAGTGAAAACGTATGGGAAGAAAATAAAATGTGGACCAGAGTCTCACAGTACACCCTCAATATTCAGAAGTAAAGGCACTAGAAGCCAATTCTTACAGAGTAAAGACAGCAGGAGCCAGAATGCTGAGATCTGGGAATTAAAAGAAGGCTATAAAAGAAGACAAAGCTATGGATGGATCAGCAAAGGAAAACATGACACCTAAATAAGAAGAAAAGCAGTTCACCAAAGGAGGGAAAGGACAGAATAGGATGCCCCATATAATGGCACATCTGTTGCATCTTATACAACAGGTGACAGAGGACAAAAAAAAAAAAAAAAGACTGCTGGGAGCAGTGGCACACACGTACAATCCCAGCACTGGGGAGGCTGAGGCAAGAGGATCACTGTGAGTTCAAGGCCAGCCTGCGCCACAGCAAACTCAAGGCCAGCCTGAACTACAGTGAGATCTTGTCTCAAAAAGACAAAAATCACTGCATCATTGTAAAAGTGGATACAAAGCTGGGCATGGTGACACATGTCTATAATCTCAGTACTTGGGAGGCTGAGGCAGGAGAGCTGCTGTTTGAGGCCAGCCTGAACTACACAGCAAGACTCTGTCTCAAAAAAAAAAAAAAAAAAAAAAAAGCATACACAAGACTGGGGATGTAGTTCAATGGTAAAAATGGTAAACCATTTGCCTAGCATGCCCAAGGCCTTGGGTACAGGGCTTTTTTTTTTTTGTTACTGGGGATTGAACTCACGACCTCAAGCTTGCAAGGCCTTGGGTACAATCCCTAAGACTAACTACCATTTTAAAAAAAGCTGAACACAGTCAAAAGATCTAAAGAATATTCACCACTCTCCTGAAAAGAGATTATATGATGGTAATGTTTAACTGAGAAATAAAGTCAATGGTGGTAAGTTTGAGACATTTCTTCAAAAGTATGACACAGAAATACAAAAAAGGTAAGAATCAATATACGTATTTGAGGAAAAAAACAAAACTTCTGACTTGCTTTTTCATCAAGTGTAAGTCCCTTCCTGAAAAGAAATCCTCTCATTATCAGAAACTTTTATTTTTAAACTAAGACAAGACAATTTATTTGAAGGTGGAGAAAAAGAGGAAAGAGAGATGATAGATAGCTACTCTGGACAAGCAGGGAGCCTCCAAAGTGAAATACTCCTAAGAAACTATTTTATCAAGACATTTTTATTATTTTCCGTAACAGCTTTTAGAAGATATGGAGCTACTAGTAAGCAACTTCCCAAGAGCTTCCCCTACAGAGAAGCTCTAGGTATCTGATCCTAAGAGAATATCCATTCCCTTCAAGAAACTCTTAAAACAGTTTTTCCTGACTCCCCTTACGCCTCACTGATGGAAGGACAAAATAAGAGCTTTAACGACAGAGCCTAGTAGTACACATGCCCAAAGAAACAGTATTCCTCAGGAGAACTGGTAGAACCAGCTGGCATGATCTCTAGAACAGTACCATCCCATGTGATCAGCCACATGTACAATTTAAGTTTAAAAATACAGTTTTGCTGTTGCATTTGCCACATTTGGAATGCACATATTACTTGGCAGTTCAGTTGAAGAACACTTTTTTTTTTTTGGTACTGAGGATTGAACTCACGACCTTGCGCTTGCCAGGTAAGTGCTTATGCTGCCAAGCTAAACCCCTGGCCCTGAAGAACACTTATTTAAGCCAGGGCACAGCTCAGCGGCACAGTGGCTACCTGGCAAACACGAGGCTGTGAGTCTGATTCCCAGTACAAAAACAAAACCAAGAAGACAAAAACACAAAAACCAAAAAACCCACTTATTTATTATTATTGATACAGAGTCACAAAATGAACAAATCAACATAAAATAATTAAATGTTGAGAGATTTTTGTTAAGATTTTGGGCTGAAGCCCAAAACTCTATTGCATTCTAGTTTACCATATGGTAAGTCGGGCACAGCAGTCAGCACACCTCTAATTTCAGCACTCTGGAAGACTGAGGAAGTCGGATCACAAATTTGAGCCCAGCAGGCACAATTTAGTGACTTAGTGAGAGACCCTATCTCAAAATGAAAAAGGGGTAGGAATGTGGCTCTAGGTTCAATTTCTAGTACAAAAAAAAAAAAAAAAAAATCATTCTCAGGTGAAAAAATAGGATACAAAATGTCTTTATAATTTGATCTCAACTACATCAAAATATGCACTAAACAAAAACATTAAAACTTAATTTTAGCAGTTATTTTGTATAAAGATTGAGTGATTATAATTTCCTTTATACTTTTCTATAACAAACATGTGTTTCCCCATCTATAATTAGAAAGCTAGACCAAAAAAGGTTTGGTACAGCCGTTTAAAAAAAGATGTTTGCAACTTAATACTTTTTGCTTTTGTTTGTTTGTTTGTTTTTGGTTGTTGTTTTTGAGAGAGGGTCTCAATATATAGTACAGGGTGGCAGCACCAAGCTGCCTTAGCCTCATAAGTGCTAGGATTACAAATATGTGCCACAACACCAGGCTTGCAATTTCTTTCTTTTTTTTTTTTTTTTTTTTTCTGTCTTTTTCGTTTTTATCGGTACCAGAGATCTAACTCACCACCCCACACTTGCAAGGCAGGGGCTTATGCCGCTGAGCTAACCCCCAGGCTTGCAATTTAATACTTTGTAACATAACAGTCACTTAACTTTCTGAGGAATGATTTATAATCATGTCAAAATAGATCACATTAGGGCTTCAAGCTAACAGATTCTCAGAGGTTTCTCAAGAGATTATTTTAGAAAGATTAAAAAAAAATCACTCTAATGTGAACTAAAATTGCATATGGAATATAGAGCCACAAATTTTGATGAGCTCTTTGGGAAGCAGATGTCACTTTATGCATGATTTCCTCTCCCTCATAATCATGTGATCATAGCCATGAGGCACTTTTTGAGGCAAGAATCTCTGAAATGAGTGCAAAGAGAAATGCCAAACCAGAAATAGGCAGTTCCTTTCACAAGGCAGCTATCTTGCTTCTCCAGTATCTAGCAAAAAAAGCTACATGACCTGACCCAATGTAGGGGTAAAAGGGGCTGTTAAGTGGGAGGAAGACTGTATAACACTTGTTTCCTTGGAATTTTTTTTTTTTTTTAAGAGACGTCAGGCCCTCTTGAAAAATGTTTTCCAGTGATCAACTTGGAAAACCGACACAAGTGGGTCTGTTTAACAGTGCCTGGCATCCACACACTCTTCTCTGAAAGGAGATCATTATTTGGCCCTGACTCAACTGTAGTTACCAGGCTACATTCTCTGATCTTACTGAAATTCACTACTACTCACTGGGTACACTTTGGGAAGCTGAGGTTTCCTGTGGCCCCTGACCTTGATGCTTGTGTGTCTGTGATGTTTAAGGCATATGCTTCCCCTCTAATAAAACCAGAAATTACAAACTGTGAGTGCTTTCTTCTTTCTCTTTTTGTACATAACCATTAATTCCACATTCAGAGATTTTAAAGTCTGCACCAAGCAGACTTTTTTAAAAAGCAGAAAAGAATCCGTGAACAAATAACAATTTGGAGGAAGAGCAAAAAAAAAGATAATTTATTTAGGAAAAAGATTAACTATTACTAAAAGATACTGTCAAAAAAATAAAAAAAATTAAAAGATACTGTCAAGGGACAGCCTCTAGTGAAGCCAAATTGCCATGTGTAGAAGATAAACAAAGCAGCTTAAAAAGGTAAATTAAGGGCTGGGGAAGGAATTCAGTGGTGCAGCATCTGTCTAGCAAGTGTGAAGCCCTGAGTTCAGTTGCCCAGGGTGTGTGTGTGTGGGTGGGGGGGGGTGTTGAGAGAAATTACAAGCCTAGAAATTAAGGAAGCATTACAAATCAATGAAGGAAGAAAGGTATGTAAAGCAAACAAAAAGATGGGAGGGAGGAACAAGTAATCACTAGGGAGGAAAGAGATCAACAAGTTTTGAAAGATGGAAGGCAATAAATATAATGTAAAGAGGATGACAATTAAAACTTAGGACCAGCTAACCACAGGAAAAAATATGAAATGAATCGACCTGTTCTGTGAATTTACAGTAGAGGTCAGTGTCTGACTCACCACACTATATTTAGTCCTGACACTCAGCAAAAATAATATCACTTTGGAGAGGCCATGAATACTTCAAAAGAGGGATGTTTGATTCAGTAAGACATTGAGTACCAAAGAGAAGAGGAACTAAAGTGGGGGGAAACAAGTTGTTACAACAGTAAAGATTTTAGAAATGGGCTGATTTTTTTTTTTTTTTTTTAAAATGAGGTCTCACTGTGTAGGTTAGGCTGGGCTTGAACTCACTATGTAGCCCAGGCTGGCATCAAACTCATGAAAATCCTTCTGCCTCAGCTTCCTGAGTGCTGAGATTATAGGTATGCCCAACCACGCCCAGTTAAATTTTTATTTTGAGAAAGAATTCTGTTGAATTGTTTAGGCTGGCCTTGAAGTTAAATTCCTCCTGCCTCAGACTCCAAGTAGCTGGGATTACAGGTATGTACCACTAGGCCCCACTCCAGTTGATCTTTAATAGTAAAGATTAACATTATCAATTAACATAAATGAGTTGTCAGTGCCTTACAATCATCAGTAAATCATTTTAAAGGAGAAATACGTTCAAGTTAATACCCAGCAACAAGTGAAAACTTGTGTGTGTGTGCGTTTCCCAAGTGTGGTGGTGTAGCCTATAATTCTAGCACTTGGGAAGCTAAGGCAGGA